TGGTGAGTTAATCATTTTTTTATATTACCTTAAAATTAACATTATTTTTATTAGGTTATAATTGGAAAATTTTCAATCACACAACCTGATGTCTTCAAAATGCCAGCCAATAAAAAAACTCGTCAATTTGCATCCTCATGCGATTGGCTGTCATGGAATGGTGTTCGATTTTCTTTCTCTTTTGTCCTGATGATGCCTGAATTGGCAAAACATTGACGGTTTTTATCTTTTCCTGCATTTTGGAGACATAAGGCTGTGCGGTTGGAATTTTTCTGATGAAAACCTAACATTTATGTTCTATCTCTTAGTGAGTTTTTTTACTGATTTAATTATTTTGCATTTCTTATGTCAGTCTACTAATAGTCGGAGAGCTTATGCAATAAAATTGACATCTGAAGAAAATTTTGAGAGCATTTTTAAAAAACATATAAATAACATTCATATAGAAAATGAGAGTTTGCTTCGAATCTTGCTATCTAAAAAAAATGGTGGCTGGATAAAAGAATATTAGGCCAGTGACTTGAGGATCAAAATGGGAAATTTATTGCAAAAAATTGTAAAAAAAACAAAATTTTGCTAACGTGGGCCACCACCTGAAAGTTTTCACAACCAAAATAGGTGGATTTTGTCAATCTCATTTCGTTTTTTCACCTATAACTCCTATTATTATGCATCATCCTATTATTATGGAATTATGCATCAAAGGACTACTTGAACTTGATAAATTGGTTTAATTTTAATGTTATGGGCAATTGCCACTATCAACAAACGCTGATTTTTACCAAATTCGCCAAAAACTGACAAATTACTGTTAATGGCCCTATAGATTGGAAATGAATTCCCTAAAAGACTTTGAATTCCCTACCGCTCAACTTTGAATAGAAATTATTTTCTGAAAATTTATATTCAACAAATGACCAGTCCTTGGGGAGTTCCTCAGGGCTTAGTTTTGGGACCCCTACTGTGAAACTTTATGCACGATGGTGTCCGCAAACTTAACCTTTCTGGCGGGGCCGAAACAGTGGGTTTTGCTGATGACTTAGCAGTTGTAGTCAAGGCCAAGTACAAAGAAGTGGTGATCCTAAGAGCTAACCAGAGTATTGAACTAGTCAGCAACTGGTTGACATCCGTGGGACTGCAGCTCGCGGATCACAAGACAGAAGCACTTCTGATCAGTAGTAAAAAAAAAAAGAGAGAGAGAAGATAATGCTGACTGTGAGGAAACAGTACCTTGGGGAAAGAATTAATGAAAGGCTCAGGTTCAAGGAGCATATCCAGCGAGGGAGCAAAAAGGCATCTAGAGTGACAACATTGCCAAATGTTGGAGGACCCAGGCACAGCCGCAGGTTGTTGGTATCAAGAGTGGTTACACATCTATACTACTCTACGCACCTGCTATATGAAGACGAGCCCTAAATACTACGGTTTATAGAAGACCAATGGTATGTGTCTACCGTCGAAGCAAAGGGTGATATGTGCATTCTACACAGTTTCATATGAAGCAGCATGTGTGGTGGTCAGGATCCAACCAATAGAACTGATTGCTGAAGAGAGGATGCACTCTTACAACAGAGTCAATCGTATTCCCAAGGTCGAAGATAGAAAGGAGACAATTGACAAATGGCAATAGCATTGAATGGAAGAGGGACACACAGACTGATTCCTTGTATCCAATCATGGATAGGGAGGTGGACTACTACTTTGCTCAGCTCCTTACTGAACATGGGTTCTTTCGTACCCACCAGTACTAGTTTAAGCTGGACAGTACAGCAGAGTGCCCAGCTTGCAAACCTATAGAAGAGAGTATTGATAAGATTTGTGTTGAATTTGTAATTGGGCGTTCAGATAAAAAAAATGTAGGGAAGAATTGTTTTTTGTCAATTATCAGTTCATATATGAAAACTTTTGCTGGCCACTGTAACATTTGCAAATTGTTATCTCCACTTGTAACTCCACTCAAGCCTTAATACTTATAGCCCTCCAAAAGTGGCTGATTGTATTATTATTCAATAAATAAATTAAAAAAGAGTAACTCAAAACGTGTATTTCCATTGAAAAATCAGATTCGAAAATTTTCATGGTCGCAATACTTTCCCTCAATATATATTAAATATATAAGTCAGTGAAAGTAAAAAACACAGCAGCTCATAAGGAAACCATTTCCCTTCCTTGCTGGTAGATAAGCCACTCTTTTATTGCTGAAGTTTTTTGCACTCGCGATGAAATGCTGACTGCAAATTCATGATGATGAAGTAAAATTATATTTTCCTATTTAAATAAATTAACCATTTAAAAATAAGGCAATTATTTTTATCTTTATGACTGCATAATAATTATATTTATGAGATAATTGTTTCAACTTATCGTTTTTATTTCTTTTATCTTTTTAATCCGCGACTTTATAATTCAAGCATTACAGAACATGTTTCAGAGGATATGAAACTCTGGGATAGGAAGACATTTTAATTATTTCTATATAAAAGAAGGGAGACTAGACCCTATGTCAAAACTACAGGCCCATATGCCTCTCTTTAGTGGCGTATAAGGTGTACACAAGGATCCTGGAGCAGTGGCTGAGAGCATATGTTAAACCTCACATGGAAGAAGAACAATCTGCTTTCTGGTCTTCAAGACAAATCCAGGACGATATCTTCTCTCTCAGGTTACGGAGAAAGCGCTAGACTGAGAACGAAATGTTTACCTTGCCTTTTTGGACCTCAGAGTGGCCTCTGACTTGGTCCCCGGGCAGGAGATTTGGATTGCCTTACAGGAGAAGAGGATACCACCGAACCTAATTAGTGCAATTAAAGCAGCTTACCAGGATCCTAAAGGCGTGGTTAGATTAAATGGAATGAAGTCTGCTCCATTCAGATTTTATAAAGGAGGCAAGCAAGGAGACAGCCTCAGTCCACTTCTGTTTAACATTGTGATGGACGAAGTGTAGAAATTATGCAAGCAAAGAACACCCAGAGCAATCGTTGGATATTTGAATATGATGCCAGTCCAGGCCCAGCACTTCGTTTATGCAGAAGGCATTGTGGCGGTAAGACCGAGAGGGCAGAACTGGTTGCATGCCCGAGAATTACATATAATGGTTATATGGAGACTCGGACGAGAGTGTGGGTCGACCTTGGGGGAAATGAAGAGGAAGGCCTAAGATATTGACACACACCGAAGGTGTGCCAAGACTACTCCATGCTTAACAGCACAAAGGAGATTGTTAAAGTTCGTCGATTGTTTAAGGTACAATATGGAGTGCGTCAAGGAGATGCCTAATCGGCTACACTATTCAACATAGCTCTGCATGCTGCTGTGAAAGATGCAATTAAAAAGGGCAATACCATTGATAAAACATGGTTAATTTATGCCAATGCTGATGACCTAGATATAAAACTCTTATCAGATCAGTAGTAACCTATGCAGCGAAAGCCTGGTGTTTGTCCCAAGAGGATTGCTGTAAACTAAAAGTATTTGAAAGATAATAAGACGGATTTACGGTACTAAAATAGTTAATGGTGAATGGAAAGTTAAAAACAACAATGAAATCAAAGTTATAGTAGAGAATAATAATGATAATTATTAATTTTATCAAGGTAAGTAGGCTAAGATGGGTAGGACATGTGGTCATAAAAGAGGATTAACGGGTGCAGAAAAAAATATTCGAAGCACACTTCAGCGGGGAGAGAAAAAGAGGAAGGCCAAGAAGCAGGTGAAAGATTGAAACTGAGAGAGATGCAAAGAAGTTAGGAGTCAGCAATTGGAAGAGAGAACAATAACTCAGGAGACCAAGAGTCATACTGTAGCGATGGAGAGTTAGTTAACAGATTTCTTAAAAAGTGGTTTATATTATTTCATAAGTAGAGAAAACATTATATGTAAGATATAATGGAGGAAATGATGATACAAATCATTAACATAAACAAGGAATCAGCCAACAAAATATCGCACATCCTGTTAACATTAGGCAGTCAATGAATTCCAGGACAGTTAATTATCACAGTGAGCCACATAACCAAACAAGGAGAAATGTTTCAGGTTGATTGGGCCCTACAATAGGAGGTAATGACTGATTTATGCTATTACCCTTCCAATGAAACTGGATCTCTACTTCAAATCAATTACAGGAATGAGAGGTGTTAATATTCCTCGAAGAACTATTATAAAGAGGTTGAATGAAGTTATGAATCCCAGAGAAACAACAAACCCTCCACTTTGTACTAGATTACAATTAGTTCTAAAGCTATAGCTTGCCTGGTAAACGTTGATAGGACAAATAAAGACTGTTCATTTATATGGTAGAGTTCACACAGTAAAGATTCACTTTAAACTAAACTGATGGGAGAAAGAGAATATGGTATATGGAAAAGAACAGATAAATATTTACTAATCAATTATCAAAGTATTGATAATTCTTAGTTTTTAGTGGAAACTAATTTATTTAATTAATACCTTTTTTAATAGGATTAATAGAGTTTGATATACAGATTTCAGTATGATTCAAAATCAAATTGATTTGAATTGAGTAAAGACATTTCCTTACTTTTAACATTCAAGGAATAATGTCACACAGTAAGATTTCGGTGACATTTTCATACAAAAAAAATTTTGGTGTGTCCACTCACACAACTTTCCTATCTATTTCAGAAAAATATTTATATCTTTACATATGTCCATCAAGAAACAAAAAAAAATTGAATTAGAGTTTTCAAGGGCTCTGAAACGTATAGATCCGTCGAAAACTGCATATCAGGAATTTGACCCGATCGCAAAATTTTTCTTACCTAGTATAGATAAGAAAGTAAAGAGTTGGTTTAAGAACAATGTTCATGGCATGTTTAACCTGGCAGAGAAAAGGGTCTAATTAGAACTTTATTTCCGTGTGGGTTAAATTAGGTGATGGCTTAATTGATGAGCATATATTGGTGCCTCAAATAAAACAATTCATTCTATTTTTGTTCTGACATATAGGAGTAATATTTGTTCATTTCTATAATTATCAATATGAAATACATTATAACTCTGAAGAAAAATAAAAGGTAGTTCACAAAAATAATATTAATAGTATATTAAGGCACACCATAAAAGGATAGAACAAAATAACAAACAATTTATTATTGCAAATTAAATATCTTTAATAAAGTTTTGCTACATACAAAATATTCATAAGAAACAAAGAGATCAATTGTCATTCAAAATTTATGACAACACATATAATTATTTACTTAAAGACTTGACAAAGTACCAAAATTATATGTCTGTAGACTTTGTTGATATGCAAGTAATCTACACTTATATACAAATTAAATAAAACAAAGCACAATTCACAATAGAAATAAAATCAAAATTTAATATTTACAAATGTACAAACATACATAAACAGATTTAAAAAAAAATGACAAAACACGATATTCATAGAGTTAATAGCTAAAAATACAAGAAAATAAAGTATTATGGTCGATTTTTAATGGTAACTTCACGATGTGGTATACATCCATGAGAATCAATTTATATATTTACAATTTCCAGGTTGTCTTTACTATTCCAAAATTTCCTCTTTAATTTTTATATTATAAAATTAAGAGTGGATCACTTCTCAAACAATGAGGATGAGCAAAGATTGTATTTGTATTTCATCACCAACTGTTACAGAACAAGACCAGACGGTAAAAATACAAGCGAACTTTTCAACTCGAATAACATGAATTATATTGTTTAAATATTGACTTATCAGCTATCGAGAAATTGTTCAAGACACTAGTATGATCACCATGCGTTGATTGCTATATCATTTTTTTCTAAAAAAGCACTTCCTGAAAAAAAAAAATCATATTAATAAATATAGCTTCTGACTATTATCTGTCTTATAATATTATATTTCTGATTGTATTAAGCAATTTTCAGCCCTGATGATGACCCACATGTTTGGATTTTAACGTTGGCACCAAAAAAACCTTAAAGATCAGTGCGTCCTGACTGTTTATCACCTAGGATATGTAGAACAGTAAACTAACTTCCTTCAATAATACATATATTTTAACATAATTATTTAAATTGGGAATTATATCACTTAATTATTATTCAATAAACTACAAAATGTTCATGGATGCTGCTGTTTATTCGACGTTTTGATCCCAGTTTTTTTAAGCTAACAATGGGATCTCCTATAACATTTTAAAATAGAGCCTCGATACCTCAGGCCAGGGACACACTGACAGCCGCAGCACCGTCCACTAGCACAGATATTAAGCTACTATTGAGTGCAGAGGTTGTCGGTGCGTCCCTGGCCTGAGGTATCGAGGCTCTATTTTAAAACATTGAAGAGGATCCCATTGTTTGCTTAAAAAATCTGGTGCGCGCAACTCACAACTTTCACTTACCGATCTATTTTGAATAGAAATTATTTTCTGGCAATGCTGGGCTATTATAAAATTTTTTGAAGTGCATTTTAAAGGGAGCTAAAGCTTAAAGCTTACAGATAACAAGTCATTAAGACCATTATTATTACAAAATGTCTATTTAATATATCGGCAGTAGGCAATAAAAATTTAGTCACTCCATCTGCTTTTATAACCCACAGAATGACTAACTCCAATTTCAACATTTTTGAGTGATGTCATTTTAGTGATATTTTTAGTTGAAAAAGTTATCTATACAGATAATGAGTAAGTTGATTCCGGAGATGGTAATTGCAGTGTTGAAATATAGAACTGAGAATAAAGGTATAAATTTAGGTACTTATTTCTTATGAAAGATGTTCTTAGAAAAGACACTTTATTAAATATCTGTAGAAAAAAGGTTTTTTTAGTCTCAATTAAAAAACTATATTGTACATTTATCCAAATTTTCACCTCTTCGGGGGAAAAAACTAGAGACCATATCTTTCCTCTTAATTGTCCGATTTTAACGATTTTTTTTTTTTTTTGGGGGAAATTCCATAAACTTTAAAAAAATATATATACAATATTCCCAAAAAAGCTTATACTTTTTGAGTTATTCGGAATTTAATTTTAACATCCCTCGTAACTTCTTTTCCAGCTTCTTTTCGTTGAAGTATGTTATATAGATAAATTTAAAGGGTATCGAGAAAATGACTTTAGCGAAGTTTCATTGAAATCGGTACATTCGTTTAGGCGCTACAGTCTGTAAGAACGCAGGTTTTTCTGCATTTTTATTTTTTTTCTCCTTTATTAATTTATCGAATTCTTTCAAAAGTTATATGTAGCATTTTTTCGTAACTCTGAATAATGCGAAATGGTTAACTTTTTAAAATAAACCATATTAAAGGTACTTTAGAGGAAGACATATCAGGCATTTAAGCCCTGTAAAGTGACATCAACGGGAATAAGACCTAAATGATATTAAAGACCACTTAATTATACAATGATACACCGAGTTTGATCAAAATCGTTAGAGTCTTTTTGAGAAAATTGTAAAAATGTGTTTCAGCGTTCATATAAAGTGGTACTTCCAGTTAGCCGATTTTAACAAAAAAGTTGCTATCACATCCGGCCCATATACAAACTTTAAATACTTAATATCAGTTTCGTACTACTTTTCGTTTATGAGCTAGACTGTTAACATACACACATAGACACACACACACACACACACACACACACACACACACAGACCATTTTGCGACACTTGGTTATTTGAACTCAGGGGACTTCAAAACATGTATTTCCGTTGAAAACTGAGATTCCAAAATTTTCACTATCGCAATACTTACCCTTACTATATATTACATATATACGTAAGTGAAAGTAAAAAACTGGGATCGAAACGTCGAATAAACAGCAGCATCCATGAACATTTTGTAGGATTGTCAAGAGAATTTACGGAGGAATCTTAGCCTCGGAGACTGAGGAGGAGTTGGCCCAACCCCAAAGGCCGAGAAAACGAGCATTGGGGATAGTGTGGGCTATCGATCACTTTAGACCCATGTCTTTGGGAGAAAGTTCCATGCTCACACCAACCACAGACCTCTACAGTGGGTAGGTAAGCTAAAAGAATCCTCCGCTCGAGTCACATCGTGGAAAGAGTTCTTTAATCAATATAACATGAACATTGTATAGAAGCCGAGGATGGAGAACGTGGTGGTAGATTGGTTGTTAAGGGCTATTACTGTAAATACCATAGAAGAGGACATAGAAGAATCTTCTAGGGATGTGAGACAATTCTTGAAAGAATGGGAGCTAGAAGGGGAGGGAGAACAAGGTGAGGAGAAACCTAATAACGGAATAGAATCCCAAGAAGAGGAGAGCCCAGCTGAGGAGAGGCCGACAGTGTGATAATTTGAATAATAAAGCAGTGGCAGATAATTTGGAAAACCAGCCCCGGATATGATGAAAGTGCAGTGCAACAAGGTTGGCAAAAACAAGATCACAACTATTTGGTAGCAGACGGGCGCGAGGGAAGACATGATTTTTAAAGCACTACAGGACGTGTCTAAACCAGGGAAAACCCACCACCTCTACGCTTCAATCTGGGAGAAAATAAAAAGGTTATAGTGGTCTGAACATGCCGGATTAGATAGGACATTCATCTGTTGCAAATTAATGGTGGAAACACTGAGGGACCAAGAACAATTTTATCTGAAAAATATTTGAAAATCAGTATTTTTCGAATTAATTGTTTTTATTAATAAAAAGTGTTTAGGCAATCATGTTTATTTAAATACATCCCAGATCATGGAAAAATGAAATAAAAGCTTTGTAACAATTAGTTGTAGTCATTTTTGGTGAGAAGGGGTACTTTTACTTGATAGGATAAAAAATATCATCATTGTTTTACAAAACTTGAGCTGAATCTCAAATTTTTCCTAATAAACCTCAACTTAATTAATACAAACCTAAAGCTTAGTAAACAAAGAAGTTTTTTAAAAGTGGTGAAACTGTAGTATAGTTAGATGATAAAAAAAAAAGGTGAATAATTTATGATTTTTCTAAAAACATAATTTAGCTTAGTTTAGCCGCTCAAAAGTCCTCTGTTAATGGTTTTAACAATGATAAGCTCTATGTTCATTTAAAGTAAATTTCATCTTGTTTACAATGAAGCCATTATTAATTACTTAAATTAAATCTCTTATTGCTTTTGATTCAATAAAAAACATGACTCACTTAAAAAACTACGAAACTTGGATTTCCTACTTTTCTGCTGAAAATTGGCCCATTGTTTATATGAAAATTTTTGTAGCTCTTGAGGTCTGCTATCACTACTATGAAAATTCCCCTCTACTTACGGGACACCCTGTATTATATCTATATATCTTTTTTTTTTTCGGTTGGCACTACAGACCATGAAGATCTTTGGCCGCAAGATGTGGTCTCATTACAGACATATGCTACTTGCTCGAGCTCAGGTAGCCTGGAGTGGGTCACCCAACCTCAAGTTGCTACGAACCATGGTCTCCATGGTGCAGCAGCAGGCCAACTGTAGCTCCATAGCCGATTTCTTTGGGCCAATCTGGTAGTGTCCTTCGAACGGACTCGGGTTCAAGGACAGTAACAAATCGGTCTGGATCCATGGATTATGGCTGCTCAGAGTCAGTAGGCACACAAGGACCTATATTTCTTTCCCTGAAACAGACCGCCGATGGACCGAAACTCAGGGGGCTATTAACATCCTAGGTTAATATATATATATATATATATATATATATATATATATATATATATATATATATTAATAGTACTAGTATAAGTTGATAGTTAACAGAATAAAATAACATTTAAAAAAATGTAATTACAATATTAAAAATTATAAGTATTTGGATTTTTTTTTTGTTATAACTATTGCCAATGACGCTGAAAAAACAGTAAAAAAAATTTTAAGATGAAACAATTTTTTAAAATCAGATGTCACATATAAATAAAATATATACTATCCTCTTATAAAGTGATTAAATTATAATTTCTGTCTTAAATTTCCATCACTTTTAATAGTCGGCAGTACAGAACCCTTTACATCAAATTATTAACATCCACCTGAAACTTCCAATATAGCCAAATGCTTCAATATTTTTAAATTTTTATTTTGTGATCATATTATAATTCAATTGAAAACGGAATGGGTATTCATGAGTTTTTAGTACTTAATTAAATAGACATAGTTTTCCGATCTCCAGTTTAAAAACTCCTCAATTCTAAGAATTTTCTTAAATAAAATATTCGTAGGATATGATGAGATGAAGCTATTTAGGAAGTTTCAGGAGGGTGTTAATAATTTAATAAAAAGGGGTCTGTATCACGGACTATAATGTATTTCAGAAATTATGTTTAAGTTGATTAAATAAGAATGTAATAAATTTAAATTACAAAATGTAAATAAACCAAGTTGACAAAATAATTAGATGATCTACTGAATACTGACCTAAGAATTCTGCTATACATGTTGGATCGGTAAGATCCGGATCTTGGAAATAACCACCAATGATATCCAAAGGAATTTGATCTTGGGATTGAATAATAACATTTCTGATGCTTTCTAGAAGAAAATAAAAAGGAAATATTTGTTAGAAAGAAGCACAAGTTAGTTAAATAAATAAAGAGAGCAAAATCAAGGACCAGGTGTGGTGGTGTGGAGTGCGCAGGCCCAACCTTTAGCCTAACTCCCTCCTTCTGGCATCATGCACCACAATTATCCTAACTTATTTCTTTTCTTAGGGTATCTGATAATTTCAAGTCTCTCAAAGGCTGGAGTTGCCTGTTACTTGATCAAGAAGAGTCTTAGGGATGAAATAAATATTGCTCAAGAAAGAAGAAACAGTTTGTGCTGAGAATACCCTGACAATCATTATAGTGATTTGTACAATATCCACTCATACCGACTACTTCACACAGCTCATGTATATTATTTTCAAATGTTTCTTAGTCCAACTAGTTCTATACAATACTTTATTTTCAACCCTTCAATGCATTTTTCATCCCTTAATCCATAACCAACAGTAGAAAGTATATCAGTTTTGTTAATTCATTTAATTTTGTTCAGGTTTATGAAAAGAAGACACAAAGTAAGTAATTAAGAAATTTTCCATAGTATTTAATTTTTTCTAATAATTATAATCTTGAGTACATTGTACTTAAATTAATCGCTGTTAAATCCATATCAACAAAATCATAATTACTATACTTTGTTATAGCTGTATTTACTGCACAATAAATTCATCTCAGTCTTTTATTATTGTTCTATTTCTTCACTCAACAGTATTAAATCATCATTAGATAGATATTAAAACATTTGACAATAAAATTAAGATTAATAATATAAAACAAGTTAAGCAAGATTTTGGTGTATCATAATACATTATATAAAGAATGTATTTAATATCACAAAGATAGAATGTTCTTGAACAAGATAATCAGTTACAACTTGAAAACTACGTTGTTAGAAAAATATTTTATTTTATTATTTTCGCTTACTTACCTTCAGCCCATAGAGGTATCCTTCTACCAATTTTTTTGATGTAATATTTACCAGAATAATAATTCAGAGGTTCATCCGAAAATGTATCTTCATTAAACAGCTAAAACAAAATAAAATGGCAGAATAAATAAAAAAAATATTAGAAAGGTAGTAGGTTCCTGAAGTGTATTGTCTTGGGTAAACATATAGATAGCTTGAGTTCCAAATCCTAGATTTAGACTGGTTTCTAATTTATCCAGCTATTCTATGAGTATGCCTTGACAGGATCATCAGGATCTAATTGTAGTTTACAAGTCTTTTGAAGCCAATAAAAGATATCCATCTGAGAAAACATCTAGTAATTAGAGAAGATAAAGGACCTAACAAAACAGTAAAGACTTATTCAGTCTATCAGAAATTAACTACCTTATGTGAAAAAAAAAGGCTTGATTGACCAGGTCTCATTTTAGAATAGAAATTAAAATTAATGAAATAAAGTGTTTAATATGGAAAATCAAACACTAAATAAATGCTATCTTTCTTATAGGCCACAATATAGCAATATTGTCCAAATTAAGTTTTTGTATATGGTCTAAACATAAATATGGTCTAAGTGGGCCAAGAGTACAAAATAGGAAAATTACTTTAAAAATTGGATAATCTGAAGTACTAAAATCACACTATTGGGCTTACACACTATTGAGGGTGTGTCCATTATGATAATGACATTAATTAATTTTGCCCATGGGTAAAAGATAGCAGCAAGCAATAACTGCACTAATATAATTAAATATAATGGTAATATAGAAAGTATTAATCCGAACTTTTTAATGTCATCAAGGTTATTAATCCTCTAAAATACAAAATAACATTTAAAGTGTATTAATGATGAAAGTAAACTTTTATTAATATTAGATATAACCAATCTCACTAACCAAAACCTTCTTTGTTTTAATTATTTTTACTTAACATGTGTTTTGTATAAGGGAAAAAAATATATTACAAGTACATCATAAAATCTATAACGATTAATTAATAATAAATTTTCCTTTTCTTTCAGAGCAATAGGAAACAAAAACTAAGGTCTAAATGCATGTAGAAATCTCTTTATATAGTTAGAAAAAGAGGAAAGGTCTTAACCTTAACCTGGAAATTAAAACTTCAATGGAGCCTCTTGGAATCATGCATAATAAAATGGCAGACCAGTTGGCTAAATGATGGTAATAAATGCCAAAAACCATGAAACCAGTCTTATAAACATGCATATATATATATATATATATATATATATATATATTATATATATATATATATATATATATATATATATATATATATATATATATATATATATATATACCATTTATATATATATATATATATATATATATATATATATATATATAAAAGAATAATGACATAATAGTAAAATATAATAGTGATACAAGAATAATATTGTCGGGTCCATATTATATTAAGCTCAGATTATGTATGAAAGCCTGTTCTAATCCTTTGTGTGATTTCATATTTCTTTGGTACCTCTATTACAACTATTCTTTGTTACAATCTCTTATTTCTTCTTTAGTTAATTATCAAATCCTTTCATATTTTATATTAATTTTATGTCAGAGTTAATTGTGAAATGGTTAATTATTCCAAATAAAAATAAATAAATGTACTTTAGAGGAAGAATATTGAAAATTAGTCAATTAAGCCGTATGTAAGCTATGTGGAAAAATCAAATATATAAAGTGCCACTTCCAGTTAGCCGATTTTGATGAAAAAGTTGCTGTAACATACCAGGTATATACAAACCTTAAATATGTTATTTCACTCTCATACAAATTTTCATTTTTGAGTTAGCCTGTTCACATTGTATACTTAAAACATGTATTTCTATTGAAAACTCATATTCGAAAATGTTAACGATCGCAATAATTTCCCTTACTATATATTTCATATATAGGTAAATGAAAGTAAAAAATGATTGTGTATTAACAAGCAATAACCCAATGAAATGTTTACTAAAACTTTTTACTAACTAAAATAGTATAACGTGTAATGTTATTACGAACCCTACAAAACCTTTCTGATGAAAATATACAGTCAGTCTCAATGTAAATAGTGTGATCTTTTGAATGGTGAAAACAGAAATTTTCTAATTATTTTTGTTCAAAAGCTTAGACATGTTGCAGAAAAAACAAGAATTAGGTTAACAAATAAGTCCTTTCGGTTTTCCTGTTTATTTTTATGTCACTATGATACACTTCTTACCTGATGAATTAATTCCTAAGGTAGATTGTTTATCCTTGAAGGAAGTTAGTCGGCTGTTCTACACATCATGGGTGATAAATATTCAGGACGCAGTCTTTTTTTAATTTTTTTTTATTTTCGCCAACGTTTCAACCCAAACATGTGGGTCATCTTCAGGGCGTAGTTTGAGCACTGAGGATGTTGAGGAGGTTTGACAAATTTCATTCATGAAATTTTGACATCAATGATGCCTGACAATCTGGTCGCCCACATGAAATTGAAACGAAGGCCATTGTTGATCAAAATCCCACCCAATCAGTGTGAGAGATTGCTATGGCCCTCAATGTGTCGCACATAAACATAGAAAACTATTTGCACTAGTGCATTAAAATTAATTTTATGTCTATAAGACATTGAGTTTTATTTCGCTCTGAAAAACCGAAAGGACTTATTTGCCAACCCAATAATTGACAATTATGTAAGACGGCGATAAACCATGCCTTTGTAAGAACTTTCCGGTGGCAAATATGATGTAGAATTACTGGTATTTTGTTATAAGTACTTAATTGAAACATCCTATACAGAAAAATATGAAAAAAATTATTTGATTATCTATAAACTGTACTTGCTTAATTCCTTTTTAAGCCTTAATGCACAGTAAAACCATATCACGTTTCATACTTTATTGCAATATGTTCAAGGCCCTGAATGTTTAAGCTACTTTATGTTAAATTATAGAAAAAATAAATAAAAAACTTACTGCTATGTTAATAATAAAATAAAAAATATTAATCTTGTTCAATATAATTTATTTGACAAAAAATAAATAATACTTAAACTAAATGAGAAAGAAAAAGAAGAAGAAAGTTTTAAAATTCATTCTCCATAACAGAAAATATGCTATTGTTTATCTACCTCTCCTGTCTTGGATACAATTATTTTTCCCTGATCACGAACCATCCTGAAATTCATTAAATATTCTTTTACAATTTTATTAAAAATAAGAACAAATATTAACAAACTGGATTAATAAAGAACAGGTCAATATAAACAAATCATGTGGTTGGATTATTAGTTAATTAAGTATATGAGAAGGAGTTGATGGGGGGGGGGGGGGGGAGGGTCAAATAAATATTGTATATTAAAATAGTATTATATGGTAGGCGGTAACAATAAAATACTATTAAATATAAATATAAAGTATTTATTTCACCAACCACCCAACTGCTTCTTCTCATATGATAATCACGGTCCACTATTCCTTCATTATTAATTAAGTAAACTTTTCAATACTAGTTCCCATGACAAATTAGAGGAAATAATGATAGTTAAATTTTTTCTTACTTGTTGATGAGAAGTTTTTCTCTTTTTTTAAATAGTTCCAGTATTTCCAATCTATCAAGAGCTGAACCATCAGCCTCAGAATCATTACACTAAAAAAACAAAATATAATAATAAATTAGGAAAAAACTACTGAAAAACAGATTCATTTAAGTTTAACATTCAATCAAACATAAAAATAGTATTGAACGAAAGAGAATAAGTTTAGAGTTGCATGCTGTTGATGATATTAGTTTTATAAGATCATTAAATAAAGATAATGCCTGTAGATTACGACAATTTTCAAAAGAAATAAGTGCCTTTGAATTTATAAATATATATAATCTCCTTTTGAGTTTCGTAAACTTATAGTTAAGTTCAATAAAACTCATGTTTTATTTTTGTTAATTAGAAGTTTAAATCACATAATTTTTTTTACAAAACTAACACAAAATGTCAAGTTATTGAGAGACCAAATTAAATAATATAGACTTAAAAGTTAACTAAAATATGAAAATAAAAAAAATTAGGAATCAGTAGTTGAGTGGAAGACTATTAGGCTGACAGGCCAATGAAAGTGCAGCTGAGCTGAGTTTAGCAAGAGGGGGTCTGCAACTGATTGCTTAGTGGAGCTCAGCTCAGTCAGCAACTTGCCTTCCATCACAACCTTTCTCATATTCCATATATTTTTTTTTAAAAAGTATATATAGCATATATAAAATTTTTAAAAACTAGGAAAGTTGATCATCTCAGAGTTGAAAAGAAAAATTGAATATTTGTGTATAAAATAAAATATTTTCCCTTACACATTTGATTTAGAATTCTTCCATATCCATTGCATATTTAACACTAAACTAAAATAAAATAGTTTCAGAGATTGTGCAGTGAAAACAAGCAGATAATATTTTTTTTATAAAATATATATAGCATAGAAACCATTTTAAAATAATAAATAAAATATTTTCATTTCATTAATAAAATATTTTCCCTTACACGATCGATTAAGAATTCTTCCACAGTCATTGTAAATTTTACAATGCCACAGTCATTGTAAATTTTACAATGAACCAAAATAAAATAATTTGAGAGGTTTTGCTGTGAAAACAAACAGAAAAAAAAATGACACTGAGGAACAAAGACCCACGGTTGTGTGACATTGGTGAGTAGTTGGCCAGTCATTGAAAACCTTTGCTTCGGTTTTGGAAGCTTACTCAGCTCAGCTTCACTACGCTTTTGGTGGCCAGTATGCCTTAATTTAGCCACTTAAAAGCCTTTTTAAAATTATTTTAACTAAATCAAACTCTGATTTTGTACAAAGAAAAGTTTGCCTAGTTTACGTTTTTAGGAATTCCCTTCCTATATGTGACTTATTGGTTATAAAATAAAACACAAAATTTAAATTTCTTATTTGTCTGTGTTGAACTGGACCCTGGTCTAAATGAACTTTTGCATTGAAAGTGAGGTGTGGGATCACCTTATCGTATGAAGAGGTGAAGGAGTTGTTCTAAAGGTACAAACAAACCTATTCTAACTGGAGTAGGAAAGTCAAGATTCATTCCATGGGTCCAGTACAAAATAAATTTGAAATTGGCCAGGACTGATTAAAATCAGAACCACTAGACACGAGAATTCTAGAACAGACAATACTCCAATACCCTTGGCCACCAATAATATATTTGACTGTCAAATTAATTACTTTTAATGATTACCTGAACATTATTCCTGTGTAGCATTATAACTTTGTTTCTAACATTCAAATTACTGTCCCTGTAACTTATAAAGAAACCAGAATTAAAAAAAAAATTTTTTTGAGATACAAAAGATTATAAATGTAAATACATGTAATACTGTATCTAACTAATCATTCTTTACCTTATAGATGATTGATCATCTTCAATGTTAGGATTATTAAATAAGACAATATCTTCATTAGTCTAAAGAAAATAGAAACAAAAATTAGCACAAAATAATATACAAATCAAATAAGTAAAACTGTTTATTTGGAAATAAATAACAATTAATGACTTTTGACCCTTGTCTATATTACTTGGTTATCATGTGAAAGCGATATATGTTTACAGAAGTTGAGCCATTTTATTTCGTAGAAAACGTAAATTCCCAACCCATTAATTTTTTTTTTTAACATTATACCTTATCTATGCATAAAAATATACTGCCAGTACCAGTAGGCACAGTAAAGGTTTGAATATTAAAGAGGAAGACAAAAATTACAAATCTAGGTAGATCAATTTTAGACTTCTGCTGAATATACTTGTTTAAGAGATTAACGAACAGGTTGGGGCTTCGTCAGTAGAGTCAGACAGAATAAGGCTTCAATCTGAAGTATAATCATACTTGAGGACAGGGTTGCCGAGTGGGCCAAGGCATATGTAAAATACAAGCTGCCCAGCAACCTGATAAACCGAAAATTACGAGTTCGAATTCTGGTGCTGGGAAACTTTTAACTCTGGATTAATTCCACTGCCCTCTCCCCTGGACTGGGAAAAATCCTATCCGTATAGCCTAAAAGGCAAGGAAGGGGAGAAGAAAAAAAAATGTAGAATCATACCAAATAAATCTATTCCACTGTTTGGGCTGTTATATAGCAACTAAGGACAAGCAGCAGTATCTGCTCGGAGAACAAATAAACAAACCTAATCTTTGTTAACAATCGTCTTTATGCAAAAGAAAATAAAATGTCAATAATTAGAGAAATTTTATGATTTAAAATTTTTAATCTTTTTAAAAATTAACATTACTACTTACATTCCAGCTTGCATCTACCCTATTAACAGCCTTGAAAGGAGCTTTATGTCTTATAAGGCTTTTGAAGTCTCCATTAAATATGGCAGCTCTTCCATTCTGCAATATTAAAATTATGAGTTAGTAAGCCATTATCACAATGTATATAATTATTACTTTTTTTTTAATGAAACAAATAGTTTTTCAAATGTATTTCACCATTTTTTATTGATGTTTTGCTACACTGGCAACACCATTTTTAATCCACATGACTTATTAACAATTAGTTTTATACAAAAATCAACATATAATGATGAAATACATCACAATTTTAACTATTTATTAGAATAACAATCTCATCATAAACAAAAAGAATAGAAACAATTAGTTTAAAGTGCTAATGTTACAAAGTTAGCTATCAATAATGAACTAATAGGGTTAGTTAAAAATTAAGCTTGGACAATATTTACATTACAGTAGGTATCTGCTATGAACATAATAAAAAACACAAGAAATAGTGCAAACAACCTAAGGTCTATAAAGAGGAATACAGAAGTAGCAATTTCATAAAAAAATAACCATTAAATATGCATATAGATTTTTATACTACAATACATATTGTGTGAAGAGTGCTGATGATATATTTCATGAAGGGCACTGTATGTCCAAAAGTAAGAACAATCAGTCTTGTGAGGCATAAAGAATTAGCAGTGTAGAAAATAAAACCGTAACAGCAGTATTCATATTGTAATTGGGTACTTCCATAGACATAAATCTGAACAGTATTATAACTGAAGTCATGAAAAATATATATGTATATATAAGATTGAGATTGTATTTATTAAAAATAAAAAAAAAGGTTCTTATTTAGCTAAAAACTGATATAATAGTATGTCTGGGAGCTGTGGTGGGGACCAGTCTATTAGAGTGTGACATACTGCTTCCAAACACGATGCTGTCCAACATCTCTCAGCTAAACTTCCTAATCACTTTGGAATGAATTTTCATGCACTTTTTTTTTTTATTATTTTTTTTAGAATGGCTCACTCTTACTTTTTAATTTTTTTAAAAGTAATTTAGAAAAATTTGATTTGTTGCACAAGGTGTAAAGTTTTATTGTTATTTAAAAGACAAGAAAAAAATCTTGAATAAAAAATGTAAACATATACAGTTTACCAATTGAACTTCTGTATATTGATGATATATATATATATATATATATATATATATATATATATATATATATATATATATAAATTTTTTTAAGGAACGCCTGATTGCCAACAATAATTCTTTATCTTAAAAAATAATTATATTTTTAGTATGAGAAAAAGGATAAAAGTTGCAATTTTTCAATATCGATATTTCTACATATCAATCTTTTTTAATAAACCTTTGTGTTTGTGATAAAATAGTTTGACAATACTTCAGTGCTAGCCAATATTTTGATTTACAAGAAAGAATCTTTATCATCATGAAAAGTTAAGACTGTGCCACTGTTTTTTGTTCATTTTTCATTTGGATTCTTAGCAGAATAGCGACTACTTGATGGAAAAAAAAAATGGAGTTTAATTTTTATAATCTGGCAAAGATTTAATGTTCCATTCTTTGATTAAATTCATTGAAATAATAATTTATTACAATTCATTTAAATGAAGATGACATAATGGGAAAAATACTTAATATTAAAGAAATATGGAATTATTCATCTTTTGAGAAATTTTTATACGCAACCATGCATCCACTCTTCTGATATAGCTCCGATCCCAACAACTTAATAACATTAATTATCTTTGCAAATATACATCAGACAAATTTGAGACTTCAAGTATTTTTGTTGTTATGATCTAATTTTCACAAAGAATAAAAATTGAAAATTCATGCAAGTACCCAGCTGTATAATATCCTAAAAATTATCCAAAATAAGACAATGTGACTAACAATTTAGAAATTGTTAATTAAAATTAACAACTAATAATTATAACAAAGATTATAGGATCATTTTAAGTGTGTTACATTATATGCATTTATAACATAATACTAATTATAGAATAATAGACTAGACAGATATAACGTGATATGTAAAATACATTACACACAATAATATGAAAAAAATTTAACATTTAAAAAAGTAATTAAAGAGATACAAATAGTTTTTCTTGTTCTTTCTTCGATCTTCAAAAATGTGTACAAATATTATCTTCATATGCATATGAAATTACAACCAACAGCTTTATAAAATGTAAAACTATTTTGTTCTAAAATTAAAATAAAATTTTACAATAATTAGAGAAGCAATTAAGCCTACCTCCTTTCCTGAAGGGCGTGGATAGAAATTTTTCAAAGGCTCTTTCACTTTTAAAATCCTAGGTCTCTGTAAAGTTTTAAATACACAGTTCTCATTTTAAAATAAACATTCAAAGTACACATTCTATCTTCTTACTTCTTTTTTCATTTTTTTTTTTTTTTCATTTTAATGCCAGTTGTATACATATTTAATAAAACCTTGATTAGTATATGTTCATGCAACTGTATTTCTAATAATTATTACTAGTTGACCCGTGCAAAAAATTGGCAGAAACATTTTCGTTTATATTATAACTTGAGTTCTAAATTGTTTAGGAAGGTACAGTTCGTCATTTCGTGTAGTTTATAAGGCTCTATATCCCTGCAAAATTTCGTGTGAATATGTGGAATATTGAAGTTATAACATTTTTGTGATTTTCGAAAAAATATCAAAGGCTCTCCTCTTAGGTCAAATAAGTAGTAGGAAAAAAAATTTATTTTTCGACTGCTATGAAAATTCGTATTCGAGGGTCTTTCGAGCTATGAAATATAAATCTCAATTCTCTTCCTCCTTAAAAAAATATTTCAACACACTTTACTCCTTCCGTAAATACAAATTGTTTAAATTTTATGTATTTCTAATTGATTTTTACAATTTTTTTTTTTTTGTTTTGTGGGTAATTTAGTAATCTTTCTAATTATCACGGGTACAATCAAGAAAAAAAATGTATACTTTTTGAGTTATTCGCAAAGTAAGTTTCTTTTCCTCCATAACTTTTTTCCAGAAATTTCGGGGGGATGGGACTATTTTTCGCATTTGAAGGAGAAAAATATCTTCAAAATGAGTGGCCAATCATTGGATTTGATGAAGAATTGAATACATTATGGTGTAATGACAAAAAAAAAACAGCTTTCAGAAATAATATATAGGATGGTTTCTTACAACTGTGTTTCTAATCACCAGCGAGAAAAGAGGGAAAGAGGGTAAATCGATATAGTTTTAAACTCCTAATATATAATAAATACATTTTTTTCAGACAAATAAATTTTGATTATGTATTCGAAACTTAGTCTGTAATTTTTACCAGATTAATGTTTATGTTCATATTAATCAAGTTGTAACATTAATTTAATTTAAAAAATGAATCATCTCAAAAAAAAATTAATTACAGAAAACAGGAAAAACAAATTTCAATAGTTAAATTTTCTTTTTTTTCAGTTTTACTACTTAAAATTTGTATCACAATGTCCAGTAGTTCATTAAATAAACATTTTTAAAATTTTCTAATGTTGATAATATTGTTTCAAAACTCAGTATGCTGATTTCATTTTTGCTTGTACCCATTGTATCCTCTTAGTGTGATATGTATCAGTCATATTCAATTTTGAAACATAATATCAACAGGTTAAATATAAAAATGATTCACTACCATTCTTGCGAAGATGAGATTTTCTATCTATCTGTTATCATATTAGTTAATAATTGATAATTTCACAATTTTGTCAATATTAGAACATAAATTTAGTCAAGGCACAGGCAGATGGCAAATAACCTCACCTTCATAAAAAAGTCAGTTGATCACTTTTATCTTCAATTCGACAAGATATTGATTAAATTATACTATACTGATAAAATTATTATATTTAAAGTAATTAATGTCTATAAGTTTCTGACCTACCTCCTTTCCTAAAGGCTGAGCATTTAATGTTTTCAAAGCCTCCTTCATTTTTTTTATCCTTTGTCTCTGCAAGTATTGGTAAAAGTGGATAAAATTAGGAATAATCAATAATAAGAACTATATCTTGAATGATTAAGAAATTTAAGCTATATACTACAAAAAAAAAAGTATTGATATTTTTTCAAAACAAGAATATTGTTGATATCTTTCTCTCTCAAAAAAAAAAAAATTAATGTAATAAAAACTGTAAAACAAAATCACAATAACAAGCAGTGAAACGCACAATCATAATTACATTTTTAGTTTGATTTTCGAACCCATAAAACTCCTCTTCATCGTCCGAGTTATTGATTTTTTCATTAGACCTGAAATAATAATGAAATTATACTATTTTAGACCAATAAATATTTCTATGCATGCATATTCATATATGAACATTGCATACGGCATATTACCATAAAATATCTACATTTTAATTTCTTACCAAATTAAATTGGATTCATGAATCATGGGTACTCATGAATGTCATGGTGTTTTTCAAATCAAATAATTTGCTATGTGATTCCTTGTCTATTTTTCAAATTAAGCTTGGTTAAAGTAGTTATGAATAAGTTTTGTTTTGCAGAAAAATCAGATTAGTATGCATGCAGAAAATAAATCAGTCTTAATATTTGTTCTTTAAAAGTATATATTTATACCATACAGATTGAAAATAACAAAAACTCTTAATTGATATTTATAACAATGCAAGGAGACATTTAAATTGTCAGAAGTTTTATTTTTCACATTAAAGTTTTTGCTGTAAACTACAATGTAATACCTATTTACTACAATATTTTTGAAAATTACCAACATCTTTATTTAACTGAATCATGTTAATAATAAGTAATAAGTTTAAATATATACCTCTCTGACAAATACCTTCAATTCCCAAAATAATATTTTTCATATTGTTTCTCTATCATGAGGCTCATATTTTCTATATTGCAAGTACCTACCACTTTGTAGATGGTAGGCGTTTATAGGTAGAAAATGACTAACATTTTATATTAGACATAATCTAACCTTATTATACAACTTTAAACACCAAGAAAAATGGCATGTATTAATTAATTAAATAAGATCAAAACTCCATTGTATGTATTTTTGCCTTTGCGATACAGATAATTTTTTAACTTAAAAATTTAACAGTATCATTTCAAAATATTCTAATTTAATAAGAGAAGTTGGTCATTATGAAGAGCAGGTTCAGTAAAAAACTCAAGCAGTAATGGATAGCGATCACTGCCATCCAATGCAATGGGAAATAGAAGCAAAATAGTATCTTAAATATTTGTTGAGAATATAATGGCCGTGAAATATGGTGGGTAGTGAACATATGGAAAGGGAGGCTACATTTATGCTTTATGAGATTTTAAGCTTCCTATCTTTATTATAAAACTTTGCACCTAACTAACATTTTTGAACAAAATGAAATTATATGTTCTTGACAAGCCATTAAGATTGGATGTAGTTTTTATTTTATATAGTTGTAACCTCACCTATACTTTTTTCAATATCTTTTTTACTCCTTTTGTTAGTGACAATGTTTTAAGTGTATTTCAAAATAGGTCATATAAAATCAGAGGTAATGCATGTTTTTATTTTTAAAAACTAATAGAAATAATGAGGAAGATATACTGACTGTTTATGGAACACAGAAAAGTTCCAATTTAATTTAGTTTAAATTAAATTTCATGAAGTCTATCAATATAGTTGCGACTTGAGCCATACTGACGATATATCTCAGATGCTAGGCAGATTCCGTCATGACTAAAGCGTAGATGCTCACGCATTTTAAACTCACTAGGTTGGCCAGTAAGAAAATTAAGAATTCTACTGATTTCATAACCACGGAGTAAAAAACTACAGCAACCGAAAAGGGGCCAAGAAAGAAAGAGAGAAGAAGCATGAACATAAAGACTGACCAAAAGAAGAAAGGAAAATTGCAAGTATTCCAATCTACCAAATTTAAACATAGTATAAATTCCAAAACCTGCACCACTACAACCCATGAAGGGTCTGCGGTTCAGCACTATTTAGAGAAAGCACTGTTTCTAGGTCAACGGTTGTGCAAGGAGATGATTTGACCGAGATCACGCTCAACCGCCAGGTTTTCCCCCTTAATTAATTATTTAATTAAGGGTACCCACTTTATAGAGGCTGGGTGTGCCCCAGGAGGGGGCACACCCAATTACCATTCCAAAATTACCTAAAATAAAGAAATAAATTTTATAATACTATTTAATTAGTCCACTAACTCCTTTAATTTTACAGTCCTAGCAATAAATTCTTTACCAGCTATTCAAGCATAATTATTATGTCAATATCCCTTGGAATTTAAAAATATAAATGCATCTTTATAAGATATGTATTACAAGGTCTATAATGCCAACAGAAAAAAAAAGATCTGGTGCACGTAATACACAACTTTCACTTACTGCTCAACTTTGAATAAAAATTATTTTCTGGCCATGTTGGGCTATTATAAAATTTCATTGCATTTTCCGTATACCTTCTGACTAGTATTTCCAAAGATTCGTTTTCGACCTGGATAAGCATTTCTATCTTTTTCTCCTTTATTCAAATATCAAATTCTTTCAAAAGTTATATTTAGCATTTTTTTGTAACTCTTAATAATGAGAGACAGTTAATTATTTGCAATGAACCATATTAAAGGCACTTTAATATAACATTGGACACTTAAGCCCTGTAAAGTGACATCAACGGGGATAAGACTTAACTGATATTAAAGACCACTTAATTACACAATGATACACCGAGATTAATCAAAATCATTAGAGCCGTTTTTGGGGAAATTGTAAAAATGTGTTTCACCGTTGATATAAAGTGGCACTTCCGGTTAGCCAATTTTAAGAAAAAAGTTGCTGTCACGACTAACATACACACAGACCATTTTTCGGGACTTGGTTATATGGACTCAGGGTACCTCAAAACGGGTATTTCCGTTGAAAACTCAGACTCGATCGCAATACTTAACCTAACTATATATTACATACATAAGTAAGTGAAAGTAAAAATTGCATATTTATAAAGTAGTGCTGAGAGAATTTTTATAATATTATGTTTGGCAGCCATACATATCTCCACTAAAGCTCATATCAACACATCTAACATAGCTACCAGATGCTGAATTGAAATTTTTAGGCAAGTATGAACTTTTTTATTATTTTAAAAGTGTAATTTCATCTTAGATACTTTGTCACTTGAACTCTATTGTAGCTCAAATCCATACATTTTTTTCCATCCAAATAGCAAATTACTTAAACGAAAAACCCTGGGAATGAGCACTGCTGGGCAACTCCAACATATTCCCCAAAAAGTGATACTATTTATAACAGCCCAATTCAATGTGATACTAAGGACAACAATGTTTCTATTGCAAAAGCACCGAACTATATTTTTAGTAAACTATCATTTCCTTAATTACTGAAATTTCCTCCTGGGGTATTATAAGTATTATTCACACTCATCTAAAATATATTAATAAATTTTATTACCTTTTCTTTGCTCTTGAAATATTTTCCTTATTCCTAATTCTTTTTTTGTCATCTGCAAACATTAGGAATTCTTAAAAAATAATATAAAGCATTAAATATAATAAAAGGTAAATGTATACTGAAGATAAGAATATTGATTCTAATTATAAATGAGAAAATGCATTCCAAAACTAGCCAACTCCATTTTCCAATTTTTATTATGTTACTTTTTCCTTCATGAGTTTTTGTACTTGGTTACCATGAGGTAGAAGGTTTTCTTCCAAAATCAGTTAAATCACCTGTAATTTAAATATTTTGGAAGAAATTCTAAACTGGAAACTTTGGTTTTCCTTTTATTCTAGTAAATATGATTTTTTTTATTTTGTGGAAAGAATTATTTTTTCAACTGATTATTTAAACTAAACTTACTATAAAATGATTACTTTTATTGATGAAAACAAAATCTGTACCACTAAAATCCATGAAGGGTCATGGGGAGGGTTCAGTACTATTTAGAGAAGTACTGTTTCAAGGCCAACGGTTGTGCAGGGAGATTGGACCAGGATCACGCTTGACCACCAGGTTTTCCCCCTTAATTAATTTTTATAATTAAGGGTGTCCATTTTATAGAGGCTGGGTGTGCCCCAGGAGGGTCTCCATAGCCCAGGGTTATTGGTGATGCTGTAGATCTAAATTAAAAAGACTAAAAATAAGAAATTAAAACTTCTTTTAAAACTAATAATTCTTCAATTTTGTTACATTATATAGGAGATGACCTTCTAATAAGGGATATTTCTCTCTCAAGCATCCCTCCACAACCCTTCCGGCATAAAGAAATAGCATTTAAGCTACCATAAGTCAGTTAGAGAATGATTACAAAAATAAAAACCTTAAATTAAAACACAACGGCATCTTATCATCAAATAAATTGTACAGGTTAGTCTTGTATTTCTCAAGTGCTCCATATATTTGATGAGAATTTTTGCAGTATGTGGATGTATATTATCCTGGCTCAAAATTCAATATCTACCAATAAATGGACCAAATGCTGTAGGGGTATATTTAGCTTTAAAGGGTCAGAGCCTCTCCTTTTTTTGGAATAATAAGAGGCTCAAAATATTCCTTGGTCTCATCAATCTATAAGTCCCATATCTCAGTTTTCTGCTATCTTTTAAGACGTTGCCTTTCCATCTACTCTTTAGCTTTATTAACCTTACTTCATCAAGACAGTTTTCATACCATCTTCGCTTTTTTAATTCTTCTTATTTCCTCTTTCATTATTTCTATCATTGATGACTGAACCGAGGTAATGGAACCTGTCAACTACCTCAAAAGTAAGTGATCCAATATAAAAAAAGATCTCTTGTCTTAAGATGGCGTAATGAGCAGATATAAATGAATAAATAGCATCCACAATATCTGACCATATTCCTTCATTTTTCAGTGCCCATATCTGGTCTGTTGTTGACCTGTTCCATCTGAAACTTCTCTGATATTCTCAAAGCTTTCTCTCCACATACAGTAGAGGTCAGCTGAATAATGCATTGAAAAAAACGTTGTATGTTGTAAAAGAGTTTTGTACATTTACAGACCCGACATTTAAAAATGTTGGAAAGACACATGCAACATCAGTGCTAAGGAGCCGGTAATGTAATTACTTGTAAGGACATACAAGCAACGTTGTGTGTACTGCCATATTATTTCTATTGTTGTTTTTGTTAGGTGCGTGAAAATGTCAGTATGATCAAAGGAACAAGTATTAAAGTTAAGAGAACTAATAAGAGATAGACCATCTCTTTACGGTGCAATACTTTAGATAAAATAATAAACTGGCGAGAGATCACAATAAAACAGAACTTGCAACCATCAAAATAAACTCTTTCCGTTCCATTATAAAAAAAAGAAAGGAAAGATATTAAAAAAACAAAACAAATAATAACTGACAGTCTGAATGGTACTGACAGAAAAGAGAATGGTGTTTGAATACAATTTCTAAGATTTCTAAATTGGGAATGAAAAAAAAAGTTACTTAGGAGATGAAATGCATGACTAAAATTGAAAAAATTAAATAAAGCCCAATTATAATCTGGTCAGAGATATTGTAATATTGCTTGTGATTTACTGTTTTATAGAATTCCAGAGTACATCACATAATGAAATGAATGACTTTCTATAATACTTCAACTGATTTCAAAAAATAGATATTTTTTAACTGTATCTATATAATAACTAAGGTTTTATAATCTCTGATTTTAGAACACCTGAACTTAAAGGCAGGTTCACATGCAGTCGTGAATCGGGCGAGAGCGCTAATTACTGGCCAGTCTGATTACTGCTATGTGTGAACTAATGTTAGAGGGAGTGGAGGTAGTTCATGCCATTGATGAGAAGGGTCGAAGTATCATCACATCTTTATCTAGTTCGAGTGAGCACGACCACCTCAATCGTATTTCTAGATTAGTCATATGTAAGGTTGTTGCAATATCAGGCAAATTCTGATATCCTTATTGATATTAGTCTTTGATATCGATATTAGTAAAATATCGAATCAAAAATATCAATATCACCATTTGTTTCACTTTATTGAGCAAAAACTAAAACAGGTTTAGTTCCATCCTAAAAAAAGTTCCTATAGTTGTTGTGATCTTCCAACGACAACTCTCTCCTATTGGTGGCACCGAGCAAATTCTGTCTCTTTATTCAATCCCAAACCCACACTTTTCTCTTTCTCTTAACTCATGTACACTAATAGATCGCAAACTTTCGCGACTTTATATTCTGCCAGCTGAGAACAAGAGAGACAGAAGCATGACCAACAAAGGCACTTTTTTCAGTGAACTGGAGAAGATACAAAGGCACTTTTTTCAGTGAACTGGAGAAGATTGTAAACTCTTGCTGGGAGAAAGAAAATCAAGCGACACACACATTCCTGGTCATCTCGCCCTCTTCATTACCCAGTGTGAACCTACTTAAAATATCTTATCATTAAAGTTTGTATTTTACCTTTAATCTTATATTGCCTTCTGGTAGAACAACTATTTCTTCTGTTAAAAAAATAACTGTTTTGGTCTTCAGTCGATAGCAAAATATTACTTAGTCTTTCAGATCTCCTTGGTCCTGAATCAATACATCAATTAATAGAAATTAAAGAATTGTGAAATAAGGCTATTTATAAACAACTAATGACACCTTGCTCAGAACTAATAAGAAATATTTGTAGGCTAACTATATGTGAGATATGTGGATGGTATACAGCTTTAGCAGTATAGCAGATACTCCCTCTTTAGCCGTTGATGACACTATACTGCTGAGGTAGTTTCATCTTAGAAGCATCAAGGATAACACTTTTTTTCTAGCATCTAGCACACAGGTAGAGAACCTGTGGCTTCTGTATATTTTTCATATTCTACACTAATCTTATTTTAGAATTAATTAATATTTAATTATTTAGAATACAAAAATTTGAAAATTAAGTTTAATATATGGATTTCTGTGGATGTATGTGTATTTTATTTACTTATAAATAAAAATAGTAACAGTAAAATATAAAAATCTGGTGAGTGCAACACACAACTTTGAATAGAAATTATTTTCTGGCCATGTTGGGCTATTATATAACTTTTCAATTGCATTTTTAACTGAGCTAAAGCTAAAAAATTACAGCTCACAAGTCATAAATACCATTAAAATAACAAAAGTCCTATTTATTATATCACCGGCTGATTATGGATTTATTTTATTAGTTATTAAATTGTTATTTTCCATAGCAAAGTTTACTAAAACGGAATTAAGAGATTTGCATTGTCTGTCATAGACTGGTCAAAATTTGTCACACTAATTGTAAGTGGGTACTGTTACAATCTTACAAAAGGAAATTTCATCAAACAATTCACTAACATCACTAATTTAATTTTCTCAAAGGTAACAATGATTTTTCGGAATAAACGGACGTTGATACCTAATTATTTAAATATACTATCAGATCTAAAATCATTAAACCACAGTAAATGTATTTAAGGTTATAAAAATATACTTTATACATCTATTAAATAATTTTATATTTCACTTCTTCTTTCACACAAGTGCAATGAAATAGTATCTTAAACAGTGTCATTGTCTTTAATCAGTAGATTTTAAATAATGTTTTCAAACTTAAAAATGTTTTATAAGTTTACATTTGTTAGTAAATTTCATTTAATTTCCATGAAAACATGTGATTTACGTTAAATATTATTTGTTTTCAAAAATTATTATTTATAATTTTTTTGTCATTCTCCATTACCTTCTACAACTTTCTATATCAGATATTGTTTTTTCTAAAATTCTCTGCTTTCCAACGATATATTATACGTATACCTTCTGACTAGTATTTCGGGAGATTCATTTTCGACCTGGATAAGCATTTTTATTTCTATCTCCTTTATTCAATTATCAAATTCTTTCAAATGTTTAAGCATTGTAAAGTGAAATCAATGTCGGATAAGACTTAAATGATATTAAAGACCAGTTAATAACACAATGATACAAAGAGTTTAATCAAAATCATTGGAGCCGTTATTGGGAAAATTGTAAAAATGCGTTTCACTGTTGATATAAAGCGGCACTTCCGGTTAGCTAATTTTAAGGAAAAAGTTGCTGTCACATCTAAGGCATATATCTATCTTACATATGTAATATCAGTTTCGTACGACTTTTTGTTTTTGAGGTAGACTGCTAACATACACACACATAGACCATTTTTCAGGACTTGGTTATTTGGACTCAGGGTACTCCAAAACGTGTATTTCCATTGAAAACTCAAATTCATAAATTTTCCTGATCGCAATACTTACCCTTACTATATATACATAAATGAAAGTAAAAATGTAATGCGGCCTCCATTATCACTGCCAAACCTTACTGCAGCCTCTATTGATAAAAAGGTTCCCTTAGAGCAGAGGTAAGGAAGCTCCTCTTCAATGTCCTGTTCCACAATGTGCCACAGTCAATGCTCAAAAGTCACAGTGTATATTTTGTGCACTAATGAGGATAAGCATATAGGCCTAAGTTCACATTTACTTTAGTTGTCTTTCTTATGAATGGAATTATGATGTTTTCCCATTCTCATGGTAGCAACTTAAGGTTCCAAACCTATTGGAACAGCATTTGTAGGCATTTAATCATTTCATTGCCTTAATATTTAATAAGTTCCACAGCTATGCCATCTGGTCCTGAAATATTTCCTAGCAGAATTTTGTCGACTGAGAACTCCACCTTGTCCTCCCCGATCGCATCTTCAAGATGAGTTTTATCCACTCTACCTCTTCTTCTGCAACCTTCAGTACTTCCTTTTCTATGGTCACCAACTTCCTATGGATGTCTTTTATGCTTCTGACCACCTTTGAGCTTTTACTCTTCAAGACAGTGGTTGAAACTTTATTATAAGTTTTTCGGGACTCCTTCTTGAACTTAATAACTCTTTTAACCTCATCATTTTACAATTTTGTTTTCTCGGTATAGAATCTCATTTTTTAAGACTAAACATATCACTTGTTGTATAGAGTATGCTAGTTAAGTATATAATTACAATCGTTCAAATAAAATTAAGTATTTTTTTTCATGAAAACATATGTTTCATTCAAAGAGTACTGTTAAAACTGATTCTAAAAGAAGAAGGAGTCAGAGATGATCATTTACAAAATCCAATCCTCAGGCACTCAATTAAAGGCAGAATTAATAGTATTCAAAATCAGATTGTGTGGGCACAATATTTTCTCAACTATTCACTAAAGTTGTTCATACATACATACATAAAAATATTCCTTGAAATACATTGGTTTTGATAGGCCCAAGAAATTATTAAATATTATTGGAACGTTTGCATAAACTGAGTTTGTGTTGTTAACGAAGGATTACCGTACCTACTTCAGATCAGCAAAACAACTGGAAAAGTAAATAAGTCCAAGAACTAGGAGGGTACGATAACAAGAGGACAATAGAGGGAGTATGGTGCAAGAGTCTTTGTAAAATGATCAGGCCGTAGTAAAATGACCCACAACTTGTTACCACTTCCGAGCCCTCCCTAACCCTATCCTGTCACCTCATGGTCCCCCCATGAGAGCAGGAGGATTTTGTTGCGATGTTAAATACATATAAACAGAACCAATAAAAAATAGCTTTTTATTTTATCTCTCATGGCGACAAGGACATAACAAAGGAATAATTTACAAAAATTGTATATTTTAATGACTTTTCATAAAGAAGTGATAAAAAACAAAACCTTATTAATTCAGTCAAATACCCTACATGACAACATATACTTCATTGTTACCTGAATGTGATGATTTAGAACAACAGCTACATCCCCACTTTACAACTGATGATCTTTTGCTCCTCCTTACTTCTAATAAAGTAGAATATAAATTAATAACACACATTCAATGGAATAATAATAATAATGAAAAAAAAGGAACTTATTTGTTATAAAGTTTCTACTTTGCAAGTACCACATTTTTTTCTTTTCCCACTCTAATCTATGCTTATAAAGGAATAATTAGTGGTATAGGTTAAAGAAGTTGCAAACAAATCAAAAGCATGCTGAAAACATAAATTTGTGGATGGAATTAAAACTCTAATAAAAAATATAGGTCCTTAAGTCAAATAAAATTCAGTGGCCCTTTATCAGTGCAAAGTCCAAAAATATTTTTTAAATTTCCAACCGATAATGCTCTTATAAAACATCAATACAAGAGGAACTAAACTAACTAGATATTTTTGAGAATCAAAACATGATGGAATTCAGTTACAACATGACATCATTCATGTACTGGATCAGTGGATAAGGCAACAGTTATAATTCCAGGATGTGGAGTTGAGTCTAGAAGATAATTTATTTATTCTGTTATAACAGTCAGGGATCAACTCTGAAGTCGTGAGAATCTCATTGGGCACATTTAGCCTTTATAAAATGGTATCCTTAATTGGGAAGAGGAATAACCCTTGTGAATGAGGGTGAATCCTGACAATATCAATACTCCTTTTAACTGCTTCTCAAAAAACAGTATTTCCATACCAAACACTGATCCCAAGACCTTCATCGGTTATGGTGGTACAGTTGGCCATTACAAAAAAATATAATGTTATTATTATTATTATGTAACCATCACCAAATAATGTTATTATTTATACAACATACATGATTCAGTAATAAGATTGGTGGTCCTAGAGGTCGTGATGGCTGAGTGTGTTAAAGTATTGACCGTTTTAGCTTTCTTGTGTCTAGTGAAACTGGTTCAAACCAAGTCTCAGCAGATAAAAATTTATTTCGTGGTGGAGTCACAGAATGAATCTCGACCTTCATACATATATATATATATATATATATATGTATATAGATATAGCCTATGGATAAAATAATAAAGAAGATATCTAATTTTCAATAATCAATACCAAAAGAAAAATATTTTATTTTAAATCATAATAAAGCAGAAGAAAACCGTTTTTTCTTTAATAGAAGAAACTGGTTGGGGTGCAATCAGAGATTAAATTAAATTACATACCAATAAGGCTTATTATTTTTTTGTGTGCCAAAATTTTGGCACATGTTTCAAGGAAAAAATAGATAACAACCAATATGAGGATAATAATACAACAAAAATAACAGTAAAAATAAAATAAAAACAGATTAAACAAAATAATGTAACAGGATAACAGTATAAAGAAATTAAGTTGTTTTTTTCAACTTGGTGATTTTTGTGGCCAATTGGGATCAATAGGTGGAGAAATGCAGGAAAGTATAAGATAAAAATTATAAGGCTACTCGACCCATCGAGTAACTGAGGGCAAGTAATATCTTATGATAGAAAAAGTAAATGAATCCAATCTTAATAAGGGGTTAATTCTTAACAAATACTTAACAATTAACTATAAACATAAATTTGCAATGTTATCTGAAAATTGAACAATTAATTAAATAATCTAAGCAATTAGATAAAGTTTACTTACCATTTGTGACAGCCAGCTTTTGCCTGTAAAAATAAATTTCTATAAATCTCAAAACATTATATGCACAATACACTCGAAAATGATTTGAAAAAAAAACTTACAATGGTGGACGACCTCTCCGTTTTTTTCTCTGGTTGAATTCACCACATTCCATCTCCAATTTTCCTAAAATAAAATACATTAAATACAATATTAACAAACATTATGGCATATATATACATATACATATTAGAGGTTTTTCTGGGATGTAAACTAAGCTTCATAAAAAGGAGAAACCTTGTGTTATCACCAATTATCACAATTCCTTTATTCTTTAAATAGCTACACATATTAGAACTAAACTAACAAAAACTTTTTTAATTTCTACAATTTCTTGAATATTAGGAAGTTATTTCAAGCATTAATATATAATAAATAATATAAAAATTGCTAAGAAACCCTTTGGCATTTTTTGAAATAAAAAAAAGTAGCAAGATTAATGGATAAAATCTTTTTCTGAAAGTTGATCAAAATCAATGCAGAAACAGATATATATATATCACTCAGCAGCTACAATAACAATGAAACTTTAAGTTTTCAGCACTAATTTGAAAAATTAAAACCCATAACACACAATTCTTGTTTATCTGGAGAAAAATAGTTTCCTATTGTATTAAAACCAATTCATTTTAATAATTTATTTATATACATATGCATATTAAATATATTTGCGCTAAAGCACAATATGAAATGGGCCTGTTGCTGGTAGCATTTATAAGTTTCGAATTTCAAAACCAAGTTGAATTTATAATAATATTTGTTGATTGAGGACATGAAACTTGTACCCTATTGTTTGGTTGTCTATAATTAAATGATTTTATATCTTATTAAGTAAATTTAAATTTTACTTCATAAATCAAGAAAAATAAATTAAATAACTTAATAAGATAACTAAGAACAAACCATTAATAGCTCTTGATATAAACTGGGGCGATAATCTTTTCAAAACGACCACAGGATTCAAGTTGCAATCTTCGAGACTATTTGTTAATACATGCTTGACTCTTCCATTAATCCTTTTGTCTGTTTGGGGATAAGATGAAGCCATCTCTTTAGCCATTAAAAGGTCTAAATGATCTTCAGTGGCCAAGAACTCAGGATTAATATTAATATTAACCCTACTGCCAGTGCTATCATCAGGTCTCAAGTTTTCAGTAGGATTATGAATCATGTCAGTAGACTGTAGACTAGTCATTTCTAAGTCATTACGATTTGACTGAGCCATATTAGAATACATCCTATTAGCAAGGAGCTTACTTAATTGTGTATCACAAATCTTATCAAGTTTAACGAAACATGGTTTGATCACTTTAAAATCTAGAAAAAAAAAAGATAGAAAAATTAGTAATGGGTACGTAAAAAGAACATTTTAGTAAAGAATGATAACAGAAAATACCTGAGACTCTATTTTCAGAATTAGATGAGCTGAAACTGCAACATGTCTGTAAAAAAAAAATAATTATTTTTTTTATAAATTAGAACTAACAAGACAGGTAGTCAGGGTTTTCACTTTGGTGAAAAAATTCCCTGTTTAGAGAAATTCCAAGGTAATAATATCTGTAAAAGCTAATGTATCGAAGAAAAAAGCAAAACGATAACATGAATAGCATCTGTACAGCTCTGTAAGTGGTAACTGTAATTGAAAACAAAACAGCTAAGATATCCAACATTTGCTTGAGTACTCAGTGCCGAATGGTTAAGTTCAAGGATGGCCGTTGGATAAATTAAAAAATGTGTTTCAGCGTTCATATAAAGTGGCACTTCCGGTTGGCCGATTTTAACGAAAAAGTTGCTGTCACATCCGGCCTATATACAAACCTTAAATACTTAATATCAGTTTCGTACTACTTTTCGTTTATGAGCTAGACTATTAACACACACACACACACAGATACACACACACACAGACCATTTTGCGACACTTGGTTATTTGAACTCAGGGGACCTTAAAACATGTATTTCCATTGAAAACTAAGATTCGAAAATTTTCATGATCGCAATACTTACCCTTACTATACATTACATATATACGTAAGTGAAAGTAAAAAATAATAGGAACATTTTAAAACGTAAAATAGGTTAAGCAGACTAGCTATTCAGACATAATTAAAACAAAGGTATTTCAGAATAACAAACAATTCAAGTTACCAGGAAAATAAATTAACTTCATCAATAACAATTCAATCAAATGAAAAAAAAAAAAACATGTTTACAAATCATCAGTCAGAAATTTATTTTTGAACTGTAATCTTATGAAAAAGAGTAATGGTGGAGAAGTTGGCTGAGGGTTGATACATAAAAAATTGTTTATTTCTTGCTGCCAATGCTTCGCCAAAGCACGATGAAAATAAACAGTTTTTGCGTACTCTGTGATTGCAACTCCCAGCCATCTTCTCTGAAACAGTGTCACATTTTCATATGGAACTTGAAGGCATCTTTTTCAAGGCCTTTGACTTCATCTGGTTTGTTACAATGAGAAAACATCAATAAACAGTAAATTGTTGAATCTTGTTCCGTGAAAGCAACAAAATTAAAAAGTTTTTTTTCAATTATTTTTGCTTTTATATTTTTATTGATTCATAATCCCACACACACAGGGTTGCACTCTGGAAAAAAAAAACTCATAGTTCTTATTCGATTTTCATTTATTTAAATTGTAATACTTCGGTTATCAAAGAAATATTTGAATACCACCATTAACATCAAAACATTTCGGCTTCACATCTTCAAAGCATGATAGTTGCCTCCCTAATTGTTTCATATACTCCTTTAATGAGAACTGCAGCATTTTTAATACAATGAACTAGTGCATTCTGAAGGTCTACTTCTATTTTGTACACTTCATCTTTGAATATAAACTGGGCCCAAAAGCCCACAAAACAATAATCCATTACTGTAAGGTCAGTCTTTGAGCACAACTAATTAGGCCAACGCGATCAATTCAATGATCTGGAAACCTTTCATCCAAACACACACACACACGTGTATATATATATATATAAATAGACAATAGAATATTCTGGTACTAGAATATACTGATTGTATGCTTATTAGAGACATACCAATAAAAGTTATTAATACGGAATTCTGTTTAATAGGGGAGAAAAAAAATCGAGCTATAGCAAATATCGGTTGTAATATCAGATCTATAATCACTAAACTATATTAAATGTATTTAAGGTTATAAACATATGCTTTACACATCCATAAAATGATTTTATATTTTAATTATAGTTAATTACTTCAAATGAAGCATATTAAAGTTACTTAAGAGGAAGACCCATATGAACATGGGGCAGTTAAGCACTGTAAAGCGACATCAATGGGGGAATAAGACCACTTAATTACACAATGACACACCGAGTTTAATCAAAATCGTTAGAGCCGTTTTTGAGAAAATTGTAAAATGTGTTTCAGTGTTGATATAAAGTGGTGGCATATAACTATCTTAAATATGTAATATCAGTTTCATACGACCTTTCGTTTTCAAGCTAGAGTGTTCACATACACACAGACCATTTTTCGGGACTTGGTTATTTGGACTCAGGGTACCTCAAAACGTGTATTTCAGTTGAAAACTCAGACTCAAAAATTTTCACGATAGCAATACTTACCCTTACTATATATTACATATATAAATAAGTGAAAGTATTAATGAAAAAGAAAGTAAAAATATACTTACTTTTTTAGGTTTAGGAGAAGTTCCTGAAAAAATAATCTTGAGTCAGTGATTATTAGTAAAACTCTAAATCACTACTACAATGCAAATATTACATTTGTTATTAATTATCAATAAAATGATTGTAACTAACGTCTCTCTATGATGGATGTCTCTCTACAGTTCTTTGAAAAAATTGATGTGCGGCCCATGGAGTATCTTCTTTTGGCAGTAGTATCCATCATTTTGTGAATCATTGAATTCAATTCCTGAAATAAAGTGAAGTCAACAAAGTAACATTTAAATCATGTTTTATGTATAATTTTGAAAACATTTGTCAGTGAGCACAATAAATAAATTCATTAAAATTAATAAGCATAACTAGCAAGACTAGTATTGAGTTAAGAGCATAGTATTGCATTAGCATTAGAGCATCAATACTTTTAGAATATACAACTCATCTTCATGAACACCATCAAATGTACATAGAACGGGAAGAAGTGTGTTAAACTACTGTTTATGGTTCACGGAAGCTTCAAAATAAAATTCTGGTACTGGATGTGCAATTGTTACAGACCATTTATCACAAATTTATTTTACCAGATTCAAATATCATAGGTGAACTTTACTCGATATGGAAAACTATGAGCCACAGAAAAGCGCAAATAAAGATATCATTTGATCGTATGAGATTCATTAAGCTCACTTAAGTCTTTAGTAAACATGCACTCGAAAGATGTTTTGGTGACACAAATTCAACTCATTGAGAGAGAATGTATATATCTAGGCAAACTAACAAAATTCTTATAGGTTCCTTTCCAATTTGGACATTAGAGAAAATACGGGAAATGACAGAAATCGATAACGTTACTGAGGAAACACATATCAATAAGACAGTAGCAACGGGCTGGCACAAGTATATTAAGAAAAATATATACTAACCATGGTCCAATGAGTGGAGAAAAACAGGAGAAAAAATAGGAAAGAATAAACATGGCCATCAGCTTTGGAAAACTGTTGAAAAAATAAACCGCCAAGAAGTTGGTTCACCACGGTTAAGTAACAGACATACAGCTATGACACATATTTATCTACTGAAAGGGCTTTACCTGCACCAACCTGCACAATCTGTAGATACCCTTAAATGTTAAATACATTATACTGGAAATAAAGGCACTTATCTTATTTTGTAAATTTAAATAATATATTATGTAAAACAAGACATTCAATACAAAATTAAAGCTAATAAAATTTGCAACATCATTGATCATTTACCTTATTTCACTATCTCGCTTAGTTTCCGAGATATCCGTCCTCAACTATCACTAATATGGAAAAAAAAAGTATCTCATGTTTTTTACTGTATTAAACTAGCTAACTTTTGATTGCTTCTTTCTATGATTAAGTCCTGAGGAATAAAGTTTATAATAATTAAATTGTCTTCAAGAATATATATTACTTTACTAGTTTATCTTCAATGGTTCAAAAGTTAAATCAATTATAACTTTATATGTCAATCCCGAGACTTTCCAAAAAAAAAAATTATTTTTATTATATTTGTTATGTTTATATTGCTCTAACTCTCTATACATCTAAATCTCTATGTATATAAATATATATATACATGCATATACATACATGCACTGACGTTTATTATAAAAAAAAATTTTTTTCTGCAAATTCTCAGAATCAACATATAAAGTTATAACTAATCTAACATTTGAATCCTTGAAGATAAAATAGTAAAATAACAAATATTCTTGAAGAAATTTTCATTATTAAAAACTTTCTTCCTGATGACTTAATCATAGAATGGAGCAATCGAGAGTCAGTTAGTCAAATACAGTAATAAACATGAGGTAAAAATATTTTTCCCACATTAGTGATAGTTGAGGACGGATATCTCGGAAACTAAGCAGCAAAAAAAGATATTAGATCAGTCATATTGCAAAATTTTATCAGCTTTAATTTTATATAGAACATTATTGTCAATACGATAGATAGTTTTTTAATATAAGCGAAATCCCGAAAAACAGCAATAAATACGAGGCAACTTTGTTTTTTTCTTCAGAATTAGCCATAGTTGAGGACGGATATCTCGGAAACTAAGTGAGGTAGCGAAAATAGATACATAATAAATCATATTGCAAATTTTAACAGCTATAATTTTGTATTGAAAGTCTTTGTCGATGCGATAGATAGTTTTCCTCATATAAGCGAAAACGTGAAAAAAGTGACCTACTAGGCTTCCCCCCACATTTGGCTCACCATCTAGGAGTGGGGATTTATAGTTTGTTTACCTCCTTACTAGTCCGAACTATGTCCCAAAATCAAAAATTGTGTCGCAGCCATTCCCTTCTATACCCCCTTTTCGAGCATTCATTGACTGGATTAGTATGGTTATTATAATAACAGTAGAAAGCTTGAAATTTGAACCAGTGCCACTAGACTCAGGAATGATAGAGCAACACTTTTAACATGCTCAATCACTGTGGCCCTAAGGAAAATTTGTTGTTAATGAATAAAGATACTTCTAAATTAATATATATTTTTCAAGGAAGGTACAAAGATCAGTTGCTTCTATGTTCTTTCAGGATTTTAAGTACAGTGTGATTGTGATGATGTTGAACCACCTGTCAACCAGATGTGATTCTTGTAGACTATTATTAATTACTGATTAGGAATAAGGTTCAAACTATCAAAATAACTATTAAGGAAGATACATTACAATAAATTGAGCAACCAATAATACAACACAATGAAGGCAATAGGAAAACACAATGTCAAATCAAAATCTTCTTCACTGGGTCTGTATTATGACTCCAAGGTGGTGTCTGTCTTTAAGATCACATTGAAGCAGAATTCTGAGCTAACTGAATATAATATATAACATATAATATAATATAAACTGTGGAATGATGACTGTTCCACACGCAATCCTTCATTATTATTAAATTACTCACCATTTTATGGAAGAAAATTGGTCTTTGCATTTACAGAGTGTTTACGCTAGGTAATTAGTGAATCCAGCAATTAATTTCAGTGGGAGGAGGGGAAACTTCAGCCCAAAATCTTTTTTTTCTATATACATGACGATAATTACTTTGAAAGAAACCAACTTACCAACAAGAAATGGTGTTTAAGTGATTCTTGAAGTCCTATTAAATGTAATTAACGAACAATAATACTTCGTAGAGATAATTTTTTTCGTAAGACATGGATATATTTCATTATTTTGGGAGAAGAGAGGGAGCTTCAGCCCGTAAGTTTTCCTTGATAAGTTCATGACCACATCCACTTATCGTTATATATCGCTGCTGTTTAAGCAAAAAGTCGTAAATAAAAATTGAGTTTTTTTTACATTAGAGCACAAAAACCTATTATTTCTTTATGATTTATTAGTATAATTTCATATTTTATTTCCCTTTGCTTGTTTTTGCTATTTAGCAGGCTAAATAAGACATTTGCAAACTACAAAATGTCACCTTTCGAGCAAAGAGATTAAACAGTGTAAAATTCTTACAAACGACCTTTTGCACTAACATTAGCGATATAAATAAATAGTGTAAACTGACATAAAATCTTGTTAAACATAAAATATTTGTTGGCTATTCGCACCACCTTTTACTTTTATCTAGGAAGTAATTTTGAAGACATTTTTTTATGCTTCCATCCAGTCTATGATGATCACAATACTCTGTACTGATTAGTATGATATTATGATCAATTAACAAAACAAAAATAACTATAGAGATAGGGATTTCAATAAAATAATTAATAGTGATTAAATTGTAAAATTGCTACAATCAAAATCAAATTTATATTTTAGATGAATTGAGTCATATCTTACATCATAAAATTATAATGTCGGTACTAGTTCACAAGAGTTCCACATGGATAACGCATGGTTCACAATCACTTGGGTCACACATGGAATCCCGAATGCGTTAAGGTTTATCCGAAAGAGAACGAAGGCGACCGATCTCTTGGGCCAGTTAATATTAATTTTCCTGCCATTTAAGTACTTCTATAACCTTAACCATGTTCGGTTCTATAGCAGGAGCAGATTTATTTGGAAATTTAGGCTACAAATCATGAAACCTGAATTGAACTTGTACATATATTATAGATCTGTAAAAAAGAAATAGTAATGGATAAAAATCTTTAATTATTACATCTCTGAATGCTATTTCAAGATATTATTTTTCTTATTGATGATTTCCATTATTCATTATCTCGGAATTATCAGATATTCTTCGTCAGTTGTTTCCCCAATACGTTTATTCCTTTCTCGAAAATAAACACTTCTTTTTTTTTTTTTTTTTTTTTTTTTTTTTTTTTTTTTTTTTTTTTTTTTTACCAATGACTACAATAATCCCCATTTTTGGATTGCCAAGAAAAATAACTGCGAATAACAATAATTACAGATAATTCATTCAATAAAAATAATAGCGATTAAAACGAAAAAATAAATTTTAAATTAACAGTTACCTAACTGGCAAATCTAAGAGTCTCGTTGGGATTGGACATTTTTGGAATAAATATTTATCTATATAACGACTGATAGATACGTTTTATTTATTAATGTTGTACACTTTTCTCGAGCAATCTGTAATCTGACATTATTTTCATAAAAAGCGTCCTTGAAAACTTAATAGTGGACTCGTAAATCTTAGAAATCCAAAAATCTAAAAAACATCGACGAACAATTTTAAATCCAACAGTATATTCATAAAATGTTCAGAACGACTAGAAAATAGTGGATCCATATATCTAAGAATTCCAAAAAAATTACATAAACTTGATGCTCAATCTCAAATCAAACAGTATATGCATATAATGCGTCCCTTCCCCCCAACTAGAAAATAGTGGAAACTCGTATTATTAGAAATCTAAAAATTACACAAACTGGATAAACGATTGCGCAATTCTAAAAGCTCTCTAAAATAAATTATAAATTCAATTATTCCAACTTCTATTGAAAAAACCGAATTACAAATGAAAAGATAATAGATAACTTCAAATTATTTATAATCCAAATGATAAAAAAATCTTTTATACATAGTTATAAAAGATAATATACTGTATATGCGTATTTACAGCCAATGCATGTAAGCACGTGTCAATAAAAATGTTATTACTAAAAGCATTTTTTTTTAACAGGCCTTGAAGAAACGACTCAAACATTATTTTATATATTTTTTTCTTTTTCCTTCACAGTGATAAACGGTATAATAAAAATTAATAATTAACTAATTGCTAAATACACAATTCATTAATAAATTGTTAATAAGGAAGTTCCATGAAGGGAATACTTTTTTTTTTTTAAATGCATGAAAAGGAATTGTATGATGGGGCAATAGCTGATGTCATAAAAGACGACAACGTTTAGCTGTTTTCGGGATTCCATGAACAAGTGTGATCGAAGTGATTGTGAACCATGCGTAATATGTGCGGAACTGTTGTAAACTAGAACCATTATATTATTTATAGTATTATAATTAAATACCACAATTGTATCAAATAAGGTAGCAAACCCGTTATACTTGATCACGATTGTCAATACTCGGCTATTTTTAAAATTCCTCAGGATTCCATCAACAGTGAATTAAAATTAAAATCAGACACCAATTTGGAACTAGTAAAAAATCTTATTCTAAAACTTTGATGAGATCACAATGCAAATTTACAAACCAAATTAAAAAAATAAACAATATGGATAAGATTTAGGCTAAAAAATATATAGCACAAATCTGAGAGTACAATAAATAAAAATAACTGTGGTAGTTAGAAAAAAGCTAAACCAACCATCAAAATATACACTTACAGCAGAAAAACTAAAATATTATCTAATGGAGGAAATGGTAAGATTGATTAAAAAACATGTAAACTAATTTTTGTAAAAGAATTTTTCAGTCGGCAAATAACGAAGTTCCCAATAAGGTGAATATATTAAATTATTCAATGATGAATATTAAATTTTGACAATATATTGATCATTTAAGGTGTATATTATAACGATAATATTAACATGTAAGTTATAGATACAAAGAACAGTAATATTTACCATGTAAGGATCAAGAAGGATTAAAGCATCAAATTAGTGGAAACTAACCTCAAATAAATCAGACTGCTTTACAAATTGAGTCAACTTTTCATGTAATGCTAGAACACATTCACCAAATCCAATGAGATTATCCTGTGACCTAATTGAAATTCATAAGTAATTAAGAGTTTCATCTTCAAATCAATCATACATAATTTAAATCAGTAATACTTACATTTTTACCTTAATTTAACAAGTAATACCTGTTGGAGAAAACTGAGTACATTTGATCTAGAACCAAACAAAGAAACAATTGACAAACCGTTGACTTCACCATTATAAAAAAGTTCAATAGCAGTAGAAACAAAAGGCCATCAGAGAAGACTTCGATGCACTAGCCCGAAGGGGAAAAAAATCAGCAAATAATAATAGTTTAAACTGTACAGATATGATTGACAAGAACTAGCACAACAACCGACATCACTTCTTTTCAAAACTGATGTTGGTAAATAACGAACCCGGCCTCTTACTTATACCCCTCCATAGAGCATTTAAAGTACAAGAGCCAAGGAGAAAGATAACACAATTTTAGAAGAGAGATACTCCATATTTATTTGTTTGCGGAAATGTTTGAGTTAGTAACCGACCATCTTAAATAAAATAATAAGAACTTATCAGAAAAAAATGATACATGAACGAAAACAAATTTCTATAGAGTTAATCTATTTGGAATTCTTATTATACATTTAGCGGTTATTTTAGGTACAAAATAAAATAGCATTGTAATTATTTTATGCAAACAGTAAAATTAAGAATAATGAACCCTTTAAACTTACGTACATAACTTATAAGCTGGTAATGAAATATTCAAAGCTCTCCGTGGCTCTGTGATTTGCTTTCATTTGTTTCTATAACTTTCTTACCAACGTCATTGAAGAATTTCTTTTGACCAATTTTTTTTAGTGATTCCTTGCATAGAAATTATCATTATCCAGTTCATAATAAAAAGCTGAGTACCATTTAATCGTTCATTATGAATACTTGTATATCGTTTTATTCTAAAAAAGTATTGATTAATTATTTTCATAGCCATGACTAAAATTTTACAAATCACCTGATATCTTGAATTCAAATGCAGTGAATTTAAAGGTGCGTTTAAACATTTCAGAATCTAAGGGCAACATAAATATCTTATTTAACTAACAGCAAACATATTGCTAAACCAAACTATTTCTTTTATATTTCTTGATAGCAACAGCAAAAGGAAAATATCAAAAATACGGCGGGAAATAAATATTTGTCAATAGTACAATCGTGTGAGAATCATAGCATTAAATATCTATATTTTTCTCGTTAATATATTCTTAGTTTACACTATTATAAGCGTTATTAGTGAAACATGTTCATTCTTGTTGACAAGAAAATATTATCAAAAAAGTCTGTATAAAACACAAAACCGGTTAAGATTAGTGCCTGTCTTAGTGTGGCGCAATCGTGCCAAGCACCTCGGGGCGCCGACCTGGAGGGGCGCTCGTCACTTATTACAAATTAAAAAAATACAAAACGTATTAAAATTGTTAATTTCAGCCTTTCAATAAAGCAAATGTATTAGAGAGATGTTGAATTAAATAAAATTCCAATATTACATTATATAAAACAGCTTAAGAAATTAATTTAATTTTTTTAGAGAATAGGGGGATGGCCTCATTCATGACCAAATGTCTAGGGTCGGTACTGGTGAAGCTACAGATATTTTTAATGCCTGTTTTGTGGAATCAGTTTATTTAATAAGTAATTAGCTTGCCCCATTTGGAAAATATTCATCCAGTTTAATAAATAAGCAATAAAATTCAGCTACCAGTAAACTTATACTAACCCAGTATATTACTCGCTGGGACCTACCTTTTGGATTGGTGCAGAAGAACGCAAGATACTTAGTTCGTAGTTTTGTTATTTATTAAAAGTGGAATATAGAAGCACCCGCAAGGGCTAGTAGATGTGCAGATGGACAAGGGACATACCCTTCTATATTCAGGAGTAGCACCAGATAATCGAGCAAAGGAGGGAGTTGGATTAATTTTTAAGGATGACATTTTTCAGAAACTTCAGGATTAGGAAAGGGTAAACTCCAGAATAATATCTGCCAATCTAATTCTCTCACTGGGAAGAGTAACACTAGTCCAAGTCTATGCGCCAACTGAGGACTCTAGTGTGATGGAAGTAGAACAATTCTACAGTTACCTAGCAAGCATAATTGAAAAAAGTCGCAGTAGAAATGTTATTATTATGGGAGATCTCAATGCAAGGACTGGATGTGACCACGGAAGAGCCCATGGATGTATGAGCCCACATGGAGGTGAAAGAATGATGAACAACAATGGAAGGCGACTAATGGAATTTCGCATAGACAATGATCTTGTCAGAGGCAATTCCTTTTATCCGCATAAAGTGGTTCATAAGATAACCTTTTAAGCACGGGAAGGAAACGTTAACAGTATGATTGACTACTTTCTGTATACCAAGGAAATCAAAAGATTCTTCACAGACATCAAAGTCATCCGAGATGCGGAAATCGAGAGTAACCACATGTTGTTGATCTCAGATAGCAGAATTCCTTCTACGAAAAAGACTCAGCCAAAAGCTTATGAAAGGATTGAAATAAAACAGCTGCAGGATATTAGGAAATGAATGGATTATGAGAACGAGGAAAGGAATCGGCTGCATGAACTAAACTTTGATGAAGGATTGGATGAACTATGGCTGAAGCTGAAAGCAGCCATATTGGAATCAGCTACTAAAGTATGCGGTGTGAAGAAAGTTTCAGTCAAAATAAAACGGTCGGACTGGTGGAGTGAAAAACTTAGAGCTGTTGTAAAGGAAAAGGAGATCCTGTGGAAAATATTCTGTATGGAAAGAAGCCGAGACAAATGTCAACTCTACAAAGCTGCTAGAAACAGAGTAAACGCTGCTGTAAGAGAAGCAAAGAGGAAAGCATGGGAAAAGTTTGGTCGCCCCCTTGATGTTGATCATAGAGAGAATATTAAGCTCTTCTGACGAAAAATCAAGACTCCGAGAGGCAGAAAAGCAAAACCAGTTAGGAATATAAAGAATGAGAGGGGAGAGTTAGTGTCGGAGGAAAAAGAAGTGAAATGATATGAAAATGAAATGAAATTATTTTTTTTTATTATCCTGGGACTGTTGTCCCTTTAGGACAAATTACAGATACAGAATAAATGCCGGTGTGGCCATACATAAAATTAATTATTTACAATTATTATTAAGATTAAGATTTTGGAAAAAGAATAACACAAAGAATAGAACTATTACACTAAAAATATACTGATATGTATAACAAAAACGTGGGAAAATAAAATAGCATAAGTAAAGAAAATCATTTCTGGGGGAACTTTAAAAGTTCTCTTATCTACATTTCATGATCAATCAGGTTGGGAAAGGAGTAGGTGGTTAAAAAGGAGAGATTTAAATGAAGAAACTGATTGTACATGTCGGATATTGGGAGAGATGCTATTCCAGAAGGAGACGGCTTAATTATAAAGGATTTGTCAAACGCTGCAGTTCGGTGAGGAGATGGATAGAGGTCGGAGGTACGAGATCTAGTGAGACGGAATTGAATGGAATATTTGAATTGTAGGTTGTGAAAAATATAGGAAGGCCGCTGAGTTGTGATGACTTGGTATAGAAAGGTAGCAAGGAAGTACAGATGGCGGTTGGATGGATAGAGCTACTTTAACTTGGTTTAATACTGGGTTATATGCGTATCTCTTGAGATTCCGAAAACAAAACGTATTGCGCAGTTCATTAGGCGTTTAAGTTTGGCCTCGAATTCTTCCGAGTGTCTGCCGTACACCAGACAGCCATAGTCGAAGTGGGGGAACACAAGGGTGGAAACCAGGAGTTGACGGGATTTATATGGAAGGAGATAGCGGAGACAGTTAAACTGTTAACGGTTAAAACATTTAATTAAATACGGTTTAAAAAAAAAGTGCTGGAGGTATGGCTTAAGTGTTACTCAAGACAGTTTGAAGGCTTTCCAGAGGACCAAAGAAACGATCCGATAGAAGAAGAGGAGGTTGAGAAGGCTATTGCGAAGATGAAGACAGGAAAAGCAGCAGGCCGAGACAACATAGTTCCAGAATTAATTAAATATGTTGGACCAGAGTTAGTAGGAACTCTTCAAAACTTCTTCCAAAGAGTTTGGGACAATAAAAGAATCCCTAAGGAATGGGAATTAAACGTTTTAATACCCATACATAAAAAAGGAAGCCGAAGTGATTGCTCTAATTACAGACTTATCTGCCTGTCTCCAGTGTTCTATAAACTATATACCTCCATCCTAGAGAACAGATTAAGACCACTGGTGGAACTTGACCTCCTGGAACAGAAAAGTGCTTTTAGGCCCGACAGGCAAACAAATGATCACATCTTTACTTTGTGAAATGTGACAGAGAAGTCCTGGGACCGAGACCGAAATATTTATCTCGCCTTCTTAGACTTGAAGGCAGCATTCGATTCGGTTCCCCAGAATGAAATTTGGGAATCCTTGAAGGCGGAAAACATCACAATAAAGGAATAGATGAGGAACCTTGCCGGGAACAGGGATGCATGGAACTATGGCTGGAAGTACCCCCACGCTGAGAAGCAAATGGGTGGAAGATAAAGAAGAAGGAATATAGAAGCCAGGTTAAAATATTAAAAATATGAATAATCATCACCGCTATGACGAGTGTGCCAATAAAATCAAAATATGTTCACAAAACGTCTTTTATTTAGATTAAAAATATAAAAAAACGTTTTCTATATTAAACTTAAGAGACCTCAAGGCTAATCTTCTTTATATAAATAATAATAAAATATAAATTTTCGATAGATTTTTAATTTAACATCATCTGCTACAGCTAATAGCAATATTTGAATTTTTAACAACTCAACAATTTGTGATAGTAACCACTGGCAATCGTGCTCCCCAGATATCCCCAGAATCACGTCAATTCTGTGGATTATATCAAAAACTTTAAATTTGTACCAATACCCAGGGCTTGGTACGTTCCAAATGAACTTTACCGGCTCTTCGTGCCTGCGTTGAAATCTTTAAAACATAATTCGCCCTACTTCGATGCGTTGAGTTCGCACCGCCGAACTTTTGAAATCAACTTTTTTAAATGACTTTTATTGAGGTTGTGGGACTAATTTAAACATCGAAATTGCGATTCGTAAGTTTTTCCATCAAATTCTGTTTCTTTTGACACCTTGTTTTTATGTTCCTATTTATTAATTAAACATTTATTTGTTTCGATAAATAGTTGAGTTTGTAACCGAGCGTCCTGAAATAATTAATAAAAGTTTTATTCATATAGAATAATCCATGAGTAAAAACCAATTTCTACGGATTTTCTTTGCCGCTTGTGATTCAAAGTCAATACTAAAATAGTCAATAGTCTGTTGTTATAAAAATCAGCGTTGGTTGGCCGTGGTTTTCTACTATACCACTTGACCAAATTATCAGGTTTAGGTACTTCTTCAACGCATAATTTAACGTTCTTAAATTTATTAACGAGTGATTTTTTTCGCTTCGATGCATCATTTAGGAGTTGTAGGTGAAAAAACAAAAAAATATCGAAAAAAATCTGACTTTTCAAAAGGTTTTGCATGGTGGCCCCTGTTAGAAATTTTGTTTTTTACATGTCTGAGCCCATATATACAAGTTATAAAAATAAAAACTTTTCTCACATATTTCGTAATGGATTTCCCGTTAACATTAACATACACTTTCGTAATTCACATTCAAACCTTCTCCTGCGATCAAGTCTATTTTCGGGCTCTGGCTCCAGGGCTATCATACATGCTTAGAGATATTTGAATATTTAACCTACAAATGATTATTTATTGTAAGACTATTAGAATAGAATAGAATAGAAAATAATTTTATTCAGGGACAAAGTCCATTTAGAATAAAAAAAAAATACAAAATTAAAATATTATATCTGGCCTAAATAAAAACAAACATAAAAAGTAAAAAGAAATAGAAATAAATAAAGAAAACATTAGTTAAAAATAGTATATAAAAAATTTTAAAAAAATCTATATACAAAACACTTGAAACTATGCCAAGACACTTGAAATTAGTTATTAAACTGTTATTTTCCATTGTAAAGTTTACTCATTGCCTGCCATAGATAGGTCAAAAGTTGTCACACTAATTGTGAGTGGATGATATTGGGATTTCACAAAGGAAAAATTCATCAAATTATTCACTAATTTGATTTTTCTAAAACGTTACTGGATAGTTTTTTGGAATGAATGGCCGATAGATATTTATATATATCATATCTAGAGTTATTAAGCTACAGTAAATGTAAGAGGAGAAGGAGTTGATTGGGGGTTGCGGTTAAATAAATACTAAATTATACAAATAGTATTATTTAATTTTTGCCTACATTTCGACCCACTTTGTAGGTCTTCATCAGGGCGTAGGATATAGCACTGCGGGAGGCAGTTGAAACACTGCATGTACATGAGCAAATACAGTAAATGTATTTAAGGTTCTAGACATATCCATAAAATATTTTTATATTTCACTTCTTCTTTCACACAAGTATAATGAAATAGTATTTTAAACAATGGCATTGGCTTGATTCGGTGGATTTTAAATATTTTTTTTTTAAACTTGAAAAAAAATTTAAAAGTTTACATTAAGCAAGACATTTTCATTTAATTTCCTCGGAAACATTTAATTTACGTTAAATAATGTTAGTTATCTGAAATTATTACTCGTATTTTTCATCATTCTTCTTACCTTCTACAACTTCATTTATTTGATATTATTTTTTCTAAAAGTCTCTGCTTACTTAGCATACCTTCTGACTATTATTTGCGGTGATTCAATTTCAACCATTTTTCCTTTTTTCTCGAGTTTCCAATAATCATATTCTTTCAAACTTCATATTTAGCCATTTTTTATAGTTACTGACTTTTTTTTTTCATCTTCCTGCCTTGCCTTGTAGGCAATAGGGGTTGTAGCAGCAGTATGGATATTTCACTGTTGGCAGTATAGGTCTATTTAATTAAGGTTTTTTTTGTTAACATTATTACTTATGAAGTGTAGACTTGTTTGTGTGCACAAGCCCATCAACCCCACTTTTCTTTTCTCCATTCTTCCATATGAAGCCGGTCCGGTAGATCTGCTGAACCTTCTCTTTTCATTTTAAAGAGGTAATAGTCTTCTCCCAGGAGGAGATCGAGAGGTGTTCCCCCTGCCAGTACTTGCATTGCCTCATGAGATATCGTTCTATAGGCTCTAGTAACCCGAAGTAAAGCCAATCTCTGAATTGATGATAGCCTACTCTTCAGTTGGCAGGAGAGGTTTAGGCTCCAGGCTGGGGATGCATATCTCAGAATACCCAAGACTACTCCTTTATATATAGTCATTGTATCTGGGTATCTGAGACCCCAGAAGGCACCTCCGACACGACTGAGTCCATTTAGGGCCACTGTAACTCTAGTTCTCACATAGTCCATGGGAGGAGTCACGTTGAACTTGCGACCAATTTTAATGTTAAGGTAGACTCAAAATAATATGATGTGAAAGATGTATGTACTCTAAATTACGAGGTAAACATTATTTTTTAAATTTCAAATATAAAAGTGGTTCATCTATGTGGCAATGAAGATTATATACCTTTTCAATAAGAAAAAACATCTATAGATATATGTAAGCCAATGTATAAAATGTATTTCCAAACATCTTGCACATCTTTAGAGATATTCAGAGGTGCTGTGACTTCCTGCATGTTTCAGAAAACCCTCCTTAAGTGAGGTGAAAATACTGATTCAATTCAAAATGGATGCTTACTAGTTCTATTTTTTGTTCATGTTAAAATAGCTTCGTCAATGGCTTCAGGCCATATTATGTCAACATAGGCTGTGGAGAGGAACCGCTCCTCTTCGAGCTTCTCCAACAAATCGTCAAAGATTAGCTTCTACAAGGCAGAACTCAGAACAGATCCCTGCGGGCAGCCCCTCTCGACCGTGTCTTCTACTTCAAAGAATCTGCTCCTAATTTTCAATGTCCGATCCTGGAGGTAGCTTCTCTCCATTTCATACAGGTTACTGGGAGTTTCATACTTCTGGATTTGCTGGAGAACACTCGGCCACCACACGCTGTCAAATGCAGAGGATATGTCGAACAGGAGAAGCATAACATACCTCTCCGCTCTTTCTTCTACGTCATGACGTACTCGCAATATGACATATGCGGTTCCCCTGCCTTTAGTGGATCCATATTGCCGTGGATGGTTCGATCGTGATAAGATTGGCTGAAGGCTCAAGAGCACCAGGTTTTCCAATACCTTGCTCATTATAGGAAGGAGGAAAATGGGCCTGTATGATTTGGCAAGCTGCTTGTCCTTGTCTCTACCTTTGTAGAAGATTCTGACATCAGCAATTTTCCAACTTCTTGGAAAGTATCCCCTATCCAGGCAGTTGTTGAGAATCGCACATACTCAGTCAACCATTGAGTATTCAATAAGAAATTTATTTACTTTTTAAACCTGTTAAAAGATATGATTGGTTTGGAGGTATTAGGTTTGTATAAAATAACAATAATAGAAAAAAATAATTTAATAAAACCAAATTTTAATTAACAACACTCAACATATTAGTTATCGTCATTAAATAATACTTCTAGCATGATATGTTACTAATATGTAACCATAAAAATTATGTTTCATAAACTGATTTTCAATCTGCAACAATGATATAATGAAAGAAAAATTTAAATAAATAGTGAAAATGTATGTATTCACTATTCTACAAATGAGATCATTAACTGTTTCTGACAGGAAATCTAACATCAGGCTTCAATTTCATTCATAATCTCTAAATATTACAGTTTTATATTCTAGGCCATTTCTATATTTATTTAATGTTTCTAACACATAGAAAAAAATTTCAGAATGCTTAGCATTTAATAAAAATATTTACATCTCAATATTGAAAACATACACAATTTATTACAACAATACAATGTATCATGTATTTATTTACATTAAAAATTAGTAACATTTATGTATCTTACACAATAAATTTAGGGTGCAACATTTGTTACTATTATTGGATTTTTCTGTACATTATAGTAACCTATTGAATGCTTCAACTAAACTTGTGTGCCATTCCCTGCCAGTGAAAGTGGTCTTATTTTTGTTTCTCCAGATTCAATCTGAAAAAATAAGTGTTGTTGTTATATAAATATTATTTATCATTATTAAATCGACCTGACAATAGTAAGGGCCATAAGGTCAAAAATAAAAGACATAGGAAATGTATTTATACGTTTCAGTCTACTTTGATGCTTTAAAAAAGAAATGAAATTCAGGACACTTCATAATTTGCAGTGATACAGGTTTAACATGATAATTGATTGTCATATGTGGCAAATCGGTTCAATTAACATAATAATACAGAAATAAAATACATTTTAAAAAAACAAAAGAACATCACAAATACATGGTGTCTCGTAAGTAAAGGGAGTTGTTTAAAGAGGCAATAGTAGACTTCGAGAGCTACAAAAAAGTTTGTATACTGCTTTGATTTTGTGCAGAAAAACATGAAATTTATGTTTTGTGTTTTTTTACTAAGGCATGTTTTATCTTTTATTGGAAGTGATGATTCAAAATGTTTTAATGTATATAATTATCAGTTTCTCCATAGCAAACTAGCTAAAATTTCCTTTAAATAAAATCTTGTCTTTGTCTAAACTAAACTATAATTGTGTTTTTCATTAAATCATGGATTATGCAACATTTTTTTTATCATCTTCCAACTATACTACAGATATCCCACTTTTTGAAAACTTCCTATGTTTAATAAGTTTTAAGGTCATATTAATTAAGTTATGGTTTATCATGAAATAAGTGAAAATTGTGTGTAAAAGTAAAATTGTGTAAAAAATGATGTTATTTGATATCCTGCCACTTCAAATCATCCTTGTTTTCAGCAAAAATAACTACAATAAATCATTGCAAAGCTTTAGGTTCCTTCTTTTTTTTTATGACTTAGGATCACAGTGCCCCTTCCTCCCAAAGCCGATGGCACATGAACTTTCCCCCACTACTGCCAAGATATTTTATTCCTCTCTTCTTCTTAAAAACAGTGCAAACGAAAGTATAATTTAAATATTCGTGGATTATATACAATTATGCATCCTGCGACTAGTCACATGTTTCCACTTGTCTTTTAATCTGAAACTTTTCACTTTGAAAATTCATAACCCCATCGAAATATGCTCTACTCAAAAATTGAAAACCCTTGGTCCATCTCAACTTATTTCGTGATAAACCTCAACTGAATTAATATGGCCTTAAAATCTTATTGAACATAGGATTTTTTCTAAAAGTGGGGTTTCTGCAGTGTAATTGGAGGATGAAAAAAAAAAATAGAAACAATTTAATTTTTTTTTAAACAGAACTTAATTAAGCCACTCAAAAGTATTCTTTAAATGGTTTCAACAATGACTTATTTGAACAAGTTCACATTCATTTGAAGTAAATTTTGTCTAGTTTACGGTAAAATAATTGTTAATTACTTATATTAAATATTTTTGAATTTATAGCTTCCTATTCAACAAAACACACGTCAATAAAAAACACAATACTTAAATTACCTACTTATTTTGCAGAAAATTTTACAGTTATTACCATTAGCACAATGGTACATTAATCATAAAATTGTGTTAAAACTTTATCTAATGTTTGTATTATTAGATTTTAAAATATTATATTAAAAAATTCCTTTTTATAAACAATTCTTATTCACATATATTAAGTTCTCACGATTCAGGATTAATCATTGAATCCCTCTCTACTGCTGCACAGTGTGGGGATGCCCAATATAGAGCTTGAACCAAGTGTCCTTTTCGCATGCCAGCTCTTTCCTCGTGTTCCAGTCCTTGTTTCCTGAGTGCTTCCTGCACTCCTTCCTTCTAGGAGATCCATGGTCTTCCTCTCAGTCTTCTATTCTCCACTTGTGTCTCAAATGTGATTCTGGTCGTTCTATCCACATTCACCCTAAGTATATTTCTTTCTGGGATCATAGTACTTACAAATGGAGAAGAAAGACAAATAAAGAGCAACTTGCAGAAACAGGTCAATCAATATCTCATGATATGAAGGCACAGAGGTTAAGAAGGATGGTTCATGTAACTTGGAGCAATCCATCTGGATGCCTCTGCACAACAATGAATGCCTCAATATTAGGCAAAAGAACTAACAGCAGATGGATAGATCAAATCAACAAAGATGCCATAGAGCTGCATCAGGTAACTGGAAAGAAATAGTCCAATATAGAGAGAGATGGAGTAAGCTTGTTATGGTACCAAAGGGTTAACAGGTCTATAATGCCAAGCTGGATTCAGAAAAGGAAGGATTACGCTAGCTTCATCCTAAAACAAGTACTCAAAAGACGATGGGAAGTACTTCAGAATTTCCATGACCTATTTATTGGTTTCTAAGCAGCCTATGATTCTGTGAACAGAAATTTTTTTATTATTGCATTACCCCCTACCCACCATTTCTGGGATAAGGGGAGGTTGTTCTAGAGGTACAACCAAACCTATTTTAAACAGAGTGGGAAGGTAGAGTTCCATTCTGTGGGTTTGACATGAAATAAAATTAAACTCTTCTGAGGCCAGATTCGAACCAGTGTTGCTAGGCACGAGAATGCTCCAACACTCTCGACCATCACAACCTCCTGTCTTTGGACAGGAACTGTCTTTGGAAAACCATGACTAAACTGGAAGTTCCCATTAAGTTGGAGGTTGGAATGAAAAAGAGGTGTATAAATACCCTGTCGAGTTCTTATACAAAGAAAAGTATCCGAAGCCTTTAAAGTTCGAACGGGCTTACAGCAGGGAGATGGACTATCTCCAATATTATTCAACTTAGCGCTGGAAAAGATGATCAGAACATCACACAAAAATGGAGAAGGCATGTAGGAATGAATCATATAATCCTTGGATATACAGATGATACAGCTGTCCTTGGAAGTAATGAAGAAGACATTGAGATACTTGCTAAGGCTCTGATAAGAGAACCGGAGGGAGAACGGTCTCTATGTTCTCAGAGAGAACAATTTTCCTCAGCTAGTTACAAAAGAATACTACCCTTACAACAAAGAATTTGTAGGACATTTGGACCCACACACTTCAACCTAACAACAAGACAACCTGCACCATGGAGGCCGCCGGAACAAGAAGAAGCTGAATAAGTGTGATAAAACCAGTTCTAATATATAACTGTGAGATCTGGACACTAACCAGCACCCTAGAAAAAAGTATTGAAAGATTTGAGAGAACAGACCTCTGCATGATAACCGGAGCAATTTGGATTCAGAGTACTAACATGGAGGAGAAAGACCAATTAATTGCAGAAAATGGTCAATCAATATTTCACAATATGAAGTCAAGATGGGCAGGGCATGTAGCTTGGAGCAATCTATCTTGATCACTCTACACAACAATGGATAAGACCAAACAGAAGATGAATAGATCAAATCAATAAAGAAACAATAGAGCTAGTGCAGATAACTGGACAGAAATAACCCAAGATAGGTAGAGATGGAGCAGATTTTTTAAGGCAGCAAAAATCTACAAGGTCTGTAATGCCAACAGAAAAAATCAAAACAAAAATAAAAAACATGTATTTTGCTAACAACTTATGCCTTAATTTAATTATTATTGATTCAATGGTATCAGATCAGTCTTTTGCAAACATCTTGTCTGATATAATGCAGTAATGCCAACAGAAAAAAAATTTAAATAAGAATATTTTCTATGTAATTAATAATTTAAATACCTTAATCATGATAGGTTGATCCCCTTCCTCTTCCTCTTCCATTGCAGAAAGCCTAGTCTTTTCTTCTTCATTCATTGCATCTTTCTTAGTTCCACGTCTAATTGCTTTTAACCTATGAAAATATCAATTTTACTTTGTAGGCGATTGTATTTTTGCAACAGTATATAATACTTATATTATTATGTAAGTATTATGTTTTAATCAGAAGTAATTTTAAATCATATATGTATTCAGGTATATAGACTACAGGCATAAATTTTCCTATGAAAAAATTAGTACACATTTCTATGCATGAAATTATTTCTATTGAGCTCAACTAAGTCGATCTTTTTGTCAATAGATGATTAAATTCAACAAAAATAAATTTATGAAAAATTTAAAAAAAAATAAAAAAAACTGTCCTGTATTATTTACTTAGTTTCAGAATATTTTCCCTTCATCTGAACATATCTAATTTTTTTTAATTATCACGTATAAACTGATGTTACACTATATACTTATTTCCATGTATTAATCCATATTCCTCAAATTTCATTATAATTAAAAACTAAAATAATAACAAGAAATGACTTATATTACAACAGAACTATACAGAAATCTAATGTCTTCAGAGGGCTAAGGTCAAACCGAACAATAACCAAGAGCAGGTTGTATGTCCAACTATTGACTAAATCATAACCTGATTCACTTGTATCAGTGTTTCATTTCAAAGGAATGCATAACAAAATTGTTGCGTTAATGGTAGGATTGGTAGAAAATAAAATATGGCTCATATATTCATGTACCATTACAAAGTTTTGATTGATTGAGGTTTCATAATGATTAATTAAGAAATAAAATTTAAATTGTAAAAAGAGAAGGTAAAACGGTAATGCATTGAAATATGGCAGTACTTTCATTAAAATGGTTCTGTAGTCATATTTATTTTAAAATATATTTTGAATTTTGTTTGAAAAACAAAAGAATTTGTCACTTTCTATAAATTCTATAAACAATAAATTCATGTTGAACAGAGACCAATGGCAACCTTTATAGAAGTATCTGATTCAAAAATACTTTTCAGAATTTTATGCATTTGTGGACCGGATTGATTTTTCTGATAACTTGATTATTAAACAACTTTTGTTTAATTATCTCTTAACAGCATTACATCAATTGTTGTTGTAATTGATTTATAATAAACTTTATTATACTACGATGTAAATATAGGAAATATATTGTTACTTTATGCTCAATTTCTTTCCAAAATATTATAATAATATATTGGAAATATAATATATTTCCAATATATTCATTTCTATAGTTAATATCCCATTTTCGTTAATAATAGTTGTTTTTCATCTTTAGTTATTTGTCAATTGTACTTGATAACTTTTCTTTTATTTTTGACTTTATTTCTTTTCTTATATTTTAAACTATTGAAACCTTTATGCATTAAGATTCATAAACTAATTATATATTTAATATGCATTACATCGATAAGATGATATGCGTAGAAATATATACACCCATTATAGTTTCTACAATGTGGAAAAAGAGAAATTCAAAACATTATATACTAAAAAAATCAATTTTAAAATTGTGTTCAAATAAAACATTTAAAACTTACATAGATCTTCCAGGACTTTTCTTTTTTTCTTGTTTTCCATTATTAACTTGTTTCCATATCCCAGTTTTATTCATTTCCTCTGATATATTTATAGAAGCAAGAGGAATTCTAATTATGTTACCATTTGCTAATGGAATCTGTAGATTATCATCTCTTGGAAATTCTTTTTCCTAAAAAATAAGAAAAAAATAAACAAAAAACATTCAATATAACTTTAATAGGTAGAAGTGCATGGAGTAAAGCACGATCAGCACAGTACCATTAACATGTAATATTTTTCTTTAATTATTATTTAGAAAACAGATTACAAATGATTTAATTGTTTCATTAATAATTTCTTGAAAAATCAATAGAAATATAAAATCAATTGAGTTGATAAATTTCTTTCTCATGTTTTCTTTTTACCATTTCATAATATTTTTTTCTGAATCTAATTTACTGAAATGGTAAAGATACATAAAAAGTAGAGATTCCCAAAATGCACTTCTCTGACACCAACTTAATTACAACCATCTAATTAAATTTGGAGGAGCTGCAGAGGTGTGCAAAAATTTAAAAACGGGGTAAACTACAAACAAAATATCAAGGGTAAGAGAAAAAAGTCAAGGCTCCTAAAAGGCCTTTCTCTAACATCAACTCAATGAACATACAAATGTTCAACCACATAATTCAATTAGGAGGTTCAAAGGTACACAAAACCTTAAAAGCCAGGCTAAAGGATGAACAAAATCTACTATGTTATACTAAATTGAAATGTTGAAGGAAGCTAGTTGACTGTTCTACATATCATGGGTGATAAATATTCAGGACGAAGTCCTTTTTAAAAGAAATAAAAAAAAAATTTAATTTTTTATTTGTGCCAACGTGTCAACGTGTCAATCCAAACATGTGGGTCATCTTCAGGGAGTGGTTTGAGCAAGTCATTTGAACACCCGCAGTGCTCAAATCATGGCAAAAAATTGAAATAATTTCATATTAAATTTATTTTTAGATATCATATTTGCCATGATACCTAGATAAACTAGATGGTGGCATATAATTTAATGCTTAAAAATCAAGTCATAAATTAATGAACAGCTATACTTTTATTAAAGCATTCTAACAGGATATAATTAATTTTATTTATGGCATATTTTATTAAGTAAGTTTAAGGAAATTATTAATAATACATAATATTATTAAGTAAGTTTAAGAAACACTTTGACAATATCATAAAAACAGAAAATAATGATCTGTGTCCTCTCTCTGATTACCTGAGTGCTGAACCGTTAATAGAAGAATAATTTGAATAAAGCAGAAGTTGAAGTAGCTATCAGAAAATTAAAATCTTATAAAGCAGTAGGAACTGATAATATTCCTAATAAACTAATTAAGGCATGTGGGGAAGCTGAAGTTGCTAAAATATATTTGTTGGTTAAAAAGATTTGGGAGAATGAGAAATTGGCAAGAGAGAGAGAGAATCACTTTATTATCATAAAATAAAATAAAATGGTGCTGCCCAATTACATTGGGTTGCTAACAACACAGCATACTTATTAATCACTACAGACATTATTTAAAATTATTATACAATTATAGGATTAACAATATGTATGAGCATAGTATACAATATTTTATACGTATATATATATATATATATTTTTTTTTTTCCTTTTTTTTTTTTTTTATAATTTTTACTATTTCTTTCATTCATTTATTATCATTCTGTACCCTTTCTCTTCCTTCTCTCCCCCTATACATGTTCCCACTCACATTCTCTCCTCTCTCTTTCTAACCTAATACATAAAAAATTCATAAAGTACAGTGGACGTGTTCAATAAATAATAATATAAAAAATGCTGTAACACACGCATGCCTCCCCCTCGCGAGCAAACTCTCCCCCTATCCGCTCCCATGCACATGGTGGTGGATGATTCCCAGGGAGTCGAGGATTATACTCTCTGCCAACCTTGCCACGTCCTTTATGTCGACACCAAGGCCCTCCATGAAGCTCCTTGTTGAGTCTGGTATCGTTCCGCGAGCTCCGAACCAAAGGCCTCTCACGTGGAACTCTCTCGGCCCGAAACTCTCGCGGAACTTTTCACTAAGGAAAGGGATGCATTTCTCATATATCTGTTTTTTCTCCCTTTCCACTTTTTCTGCCTGATCGAGGTCGTTGGTCTCATATCTCACGGTCGGATCCAAAATCATCGCCGACTTTCCCGTCTTAGAGAATGCTACAATGTCGGCATATCGGGTGGATCCATCCGTATCTATACAATATACTTCCTCGAAACAGGCGTATTCTCTCTCTTCAAGGAGCCTCATCAGTTCATGCTTGACTCTGTGGTGACGGCGTGTTATAAGGAGGGAGTTGTTGGGGCATTTTCCAAGCACATGTGCTGGTGTTTCTGGCTCTCTGTCGCATTTGCGACAGAGGAACCCAACTTCTCTTACCTGTCCGCTGACACCTGGGACTCCACGCAGGAGAGCATAATTAATATTTAGTTTCAGGGCATTTGACCATTCAGACCCAGAAAGTACTTGCTTATCATACATGTATTTATTGGCTTTCGGGGTCTCTTTAAAATGGCGAACTCCAATGCCCTGCCACCTGCAATTGGTCCATTCCTCAAACGAATTTTCTCGAAGCGACTGCCGTAGAGCTCTCATATTCCGAATACCCCGATCAACCCCCAATCTCTCGGCACATTCATCAACCTCAGCCGAATAATCAAAGATCGACTGAAAAAGGGCATCGGGCACATTGGACAGTCGCTGAGCAATGGACCAATGTTGTAGAGGAGCCTCCCATTGGCAGCGGATTAATCCTAATCCTCGATACCTCCTGGGAGAGTACAACATCGCCGTGGAGGTGTTCGCAGGGAGTCCAACAATAGCCTTCACACTCCTGCGAATCATGGTGTCGATGCCGTCAAGTACGGCAGGACGCAGCTTTGTGAGGGGCGCAGTTTGGAGAGGGTAAGTAAGACCCGGGAACAGATATTGGTTGACAATGTTTAGCTTCTGCTCAGGCTTCAGCAAGGGAGAGGTTACCAGTTTATTCAGGTTTGCGTTCAATTTGGTCACCGAATCATCGTTGAACTGTAGCTCTCCCGAGAATGTACATCCTAAATACTTGATTGTATCTCCATTCTGCATTGTTTGGATGTACTCTCCGTTCTCAAGGGAGAGCATCGCGGTTTCCAGCTCTCCTTTATTTAGAACGATGCCCACGCTTTTTTGAGGATTAATAGCCAAACCAATTCCCTCAAATGTCCTCTGAACGCTGCCGATCACTCTTTCTGCAGCCCCCTTGTCACGCGCTGACACGGCCTGGTCATCCGCGAAACCTGTGAGGACCACACAACCTTGGTCACTTTTTAACTTGTATCCAAATTTTTTGGAAAATTCTTCATCGCACAGGTCGCGATAGAGATGGTCAATGGCCAGGTTGAAGAGCGACGACGACAAGGGGCCGCCTTGGGGTACCCCGCGCAGCACTTTGATTTGGCTAGTTGCGTGAACACCGTTACTAATTTTGATTACTAATCTATCGACAATAAAAAAAATCTATTCCTATTCCAATTCTAAAAAACCTGATGTGTCCACTCACAGGACTTTCCTACCTTTTTCAGAATAGTTTTTATATCTTTACATTATGTCCATCAAGAAACAAAAAGAAATTGAATTAAATTTATTTTCCTGAAAATTGATCAAAGAAAAGATTTGAGTAAGATTTATTCGTTTTATTTTATTTTTTTTATTTTTTTATATTTTTTTAGTTTCTTTATATTTAAATTTTTTTTCCTGAATTTTCTACGGAATTAAGACCATATACAAAAATTGAAAGGACAATTATTAGAACATTATAGGAAAGTTTCATCAAAATCGTTAGAGCCGTTTTTGCACTACAGTCAATAGAAACACATGTTTTTCATTTTTTGTGCAGCAAATATTGTGCATGGAACATCCAATTTGTGTCACAGGTATCAGTTAATCAGTAGAACAGTAGTCAAAACCCTACAAAATAAAAAAAGAAGCAACAAAATCGGTTCTCTAGTTCCCAAGAAAATCTTAGACCACTGGCTAAAAATGTGTTTTTCGAACTCAGGAGGCTCTGAAACGTATAGATCCGTCAAAAACCGCATATGGTAAATTTTACCCGATTGCAATACTTTCCTTACCTGGTATAGGTAGGAAAGTAAATAGGGTCTGAGGAGGGATTCCTTCTGGTATGTTGTAAAAGATTCACTTTAATGCTTACTAATCGAATCACGGAATGTGTCAAGGAAATTATTGGATATCACCAATGCAGATTTTGTTAGAACCATTCAACTATTGATCAAATATTTTCTTTATGGCAAATAGAGAAAAAAATAGAGAACAACGGTATTGTTCACCAGCTGTATATCAAGTTAAAAAAGGTTTATGATTCCATTGACCATCAGAAACTATATAATATTCTAATTGAGCAGGGGATTCCAGAAAGATTAGTAAATCTAGCTTGAGGGAAACATTCAATAAAGTTATAATCGGTAATTATTTATCTGAAAAGTTTGAGGCTCATTCAGGTTTAAAACAAGGTGTTTCACTTTCACTTGTTCTGTTTAAGCAAACATTATAACTTGCAATTAGGGAGATTATGCCCACCGAAATAAATTCGAATCTGGATGGAACAGTATTTATGCTGAACTAAATAGGACAACGTTGATGAAATCCAGTAAAGAACTGGAGCTCGAAATAAATACAGATAAGACAAAATATATGGTTAGCTGCAACAACGCCAATAATTTCGATATAGAGGGAAATAAGTTTGAAAATGCATAAAAGTTTAGGTATCTTGGGTCTATGATAACTAGAAAATACAAAGTCGAAGAGGATATTAAAGTTAAGTTGAATTTTTCTGTAACAAAGCTACTTAGCTCACACCTCCTGTTCTGAAATTTAAAAATAATAATTTACAAAACCATTATCCTACCTACACTGCTTTTTGGTAGTGAAACAAAGCTGCTTAAATTAAGGGATGAATAATGTCCTAACGTTATTGTAAATGAAGTATTGCATAGAATATTTGGGCCAAAGAAGGATGAGTCGCCTGGAAAATTACTATACGTGGGCGGGGTGGCCGAATGGGCTAAAGCGTGTGCACTGCACCGCCGTTGCCTGGCAACCTGATATATGAATCAAAGATATAAAAATAGTCAATAGTCACGAGTTCGCGTCCCAGTGCTGGGGGAGTCTTTTAAATCCCCGCCCATACTCCCTGGTCCGGGAAAATCCCGTATAGCCTTAACACCCTAACAGCGAGGAAGGGAAGGACAAAAAAAAAAAAAAAAAAAAAAAAAAAAAAAAAAAAAAAAAAAAAAAAAAAAAATTACTTACTATACGGACTAAATTACTATATCCGGTTAGTAATTAAGGTGACAAATAAAATGGGTATGTAAAATTGTTGGCTTAGTTACGAAAGAATCTCTAGAAAGTTAATATGCGCTGTATTGACTGGAAAACATAGGAGGAGTAGATAGAAGCAAAGGTGGAAAGATTGCATTAAGCTTGATCTTGTAAGGCTGGGCAAACCCAGCCCCAGATGACAGCCAGTCCAAAGACTGGTCAGTGGAGGAAGGTGTATTGACAGCCATTGCTAACAGGCATTGAACCTTCGGGTTCATTAAGTGTTCTATTATTATTATTATGTAATATTTTAAATATTTTTTTCTTAAGTATGATAAGCTGGAAATAAGTTCTATTTGACCAAATTAGAATAACTGAAAATATATTCATGCTAAATGGTGACATTGATTTGTTGACCAATTTTCTTTCCTGAGGCTTTTGAAAAATATTTGATTTTAAAATAATAAAATTAAAATATATAAAAAAAATGACCTTCTAATCATAGCTGATTTATTAAGTCTAATGAAGTATAAAAAAAAATTGCAAGAGCATTTTGTATTTTAATTTAATATTGATTTTAACCATTTTTAAGGATCAACAAATGATCTGGTAAACTTACTTCAGTGTTGCTGAGCTCTTCTTGGTCTTCTTCTCTCTTGGTAGTTTCAGGCATAACATCATCAAGAATTTTCAATTCTCTCTGAGTAAATACAAAATCTAAACTTTTCCTGATGCCTATCATGACAACTAACTGGAATAAAGAAAACAAAATTAAACGTTGAATACTTTGGTCAATGAAAATGAAATAATGTAATAACAATAAGTGTATTCTTTTATTTATTTATTTTTCTGCTTTGCTGATTATCAAGGAATTAAGTTATTTGATGTGGTGTTTTTACTAAGAAGGTGGCCTTGGTGGCCAAGCATGAGGCAATAACTGAGCACCCTGGAGTCATACGCAGATCTAGTTTAGATGTACCTTGGGAGAGTAAAATATTATTTATAAGGGTAATGAATTTCAACATATTTACTCTTGCTGAAAAGTTTTTTTTAACAATGGGAAAGCCTTCAATGGATTTCATCAAGTTGTTAAACCCAATATAAGTATCATAATTTATTGATTAATTTACAAATCAAATATTTATATAACAATTAATGAATAATAATAAACAAATTTGTATTAGTTAATTGAGATAGTTTTACAAAGAGGTAATAATCATTTTGAATAATATCTCAAGAACTTACATATACACTTTTAAAAAAAAAAATACTTACCATAAGAGGAAACAGTATTGATGTTTGTGAAAAAGATTTAATAAGCCAAAGAAGTATAAGGCAAGCTAACTGAATAGTTGTAAATATATGAACCCTTTTGAGAGGTACCTAGAAACAAAAAAAGGTAATTTTGAAGTTAATGGACTTAAAATAATATAAGAAATAATTCAAAGAAATTTGATACCTGTCTAAGGAACATGAAATCAGGTTGGTATTTTGCAGGCATTAGCATTATTAGGATTCTGTCAAAAAACTGTAGACCTTTTAATGAGGCAACTCCCATGTAAAGAAAAACTCCAAACAAAACTGGCATTGGAATATTCCTAAGGAGTGGGGTAATAAGAACTGACAAACCAATCATAAGAAATATCAAAATATGCGTAACTCTTTGCTCTCTGAAAATTAAATAAGATAAAGTGAAATAGTTATATAAAATTAAAATAATTAATAATTTCCTTAACAGATGCCAGAATGTAAGTATAAGTAACATAACAATATAAATTACCTAACACCAAGAAATTGTGGTTTTTCTCCAGGGGCAGCACATTCAGATTCCAATTTTAGGGAATTCACATGATTTATAGAGAGAACAGTAGCAGCTACAAACCATGGAAGTCCCATTACAGAGCAACCAACAATCAATATGGCCAAAATAAATAGATCTAAATGATAACCACAGCCTTTCTGGAAACAAAGAAAGAAATGCAAAGACACATTTTCTAAATACGTAATAAAAGAAAAAAGTATAGAGCTAAATTTGAACAAAAAGGAAATGAAACAAACTTTCACAAATACCTTTAGTTTGTTTTCCTTTCTATTAACAATTACAGCAGTGATTTGTTGGTCCATAAAGATCAGAATGGTTCCCAACAATGCAGGAAGAATTGCAACAGGGGCTGTCCATAATGGATTTTTGAATGGATTGATGAGCCATCCTCGTCCTGGAAGGGTTGGTTTGAACTCACTAGGAACCTATTAATTAAAATAAATATTCATTGGCCATTATGATTTTTATTATTTTAGTCTATGCTAAAGTATAAAGCTAAAATTAAAATTCCATTGAAAATGTTCAATTTTTTGTTGGTAAGTTAATGAAAACTGATAACTATGGTCAGGTCAAAAATTTTCTGATTTAAAGTATTCATGAATTTGAGATTTGTGTGATTTTCCTGGAACATTACCCTATCTAAAGGAATAACAGTATATCAGCTGTGGAAAAAAAAAATTAGTTACTGCAACAACTTTAAGTAAATGTTATTAAAATTTTAGTAAATGTTAAGTCCTGATTGGGAAGTCATATTTAATATTAAAACATCAGTTGAGCTGTAGTCATATTTATATGAAATAAATTCAACATTCAGTTATTTGATACATTTAGTTTCAATTAAATAGACTATTTAGATTTAACTTATACTTTGTTAAGTATTAATACATTTGATGAAATGTTAGACATTAAGCAAACACTAGTAAAATTTACAATTACCTCTAATTTTGGGGTTGGAATATCCATTTTAGCATCTAACAATGTCATTGAAAAAATGGCAATGATGACAGCAAAGTCACTGATGAACTGCCTCACCTATAATAACTTATTATAAGTACAAAAACCGGCTGTTAATACAATTTCATATTAGATGCTATTTGAGCATCAATAGAAAGCATGTTAATTATAAATAGTTTCAAATACCTTGGCTGGAAAGAAAGAGGCATTTTTGAAATCTTTGAGGTGAATTGAAATGAGGAAAGTTCCAAAAAATAAAATAACAGACATCAGGAAAACGTCAGGAACATAAATGAAAGGACATCCATCCCCTATGAACATGCCTTTATTATTCTGCAAAAGATAAAATTAAAATTAATTTTAAAACCATCACAAACACAATTTCTTGATTTCTAAAAGATTATGATTTATTTAAAAAAAAAAAAAGCACAAATTTACCAAACATTCTTCAAGAGGCAAACTGAGATTTTCTCCAATTTCATAGCATTCACAAAGAGATATATTTGATGTTCCGTATAAGTTCATAGGATATTTTTTTCCAATTTGCAGCACATTTTCAATGGCCTAAAAAATTTTAAATTTAATTTTGGAATGCAAAACATTAAACCCTTAACATGGAGTCAACATTATATCCTCGAAAGCAGCTATAAATTATTTATTTAAAAAAGTAAAAATGAGAATAATAGTTTAGTACATTTAATAAGTCTTAGTTAATATTACAAGTGATTACTCACTCATTGTCATAATAAATAGTTATTTTTATTAAATACATTTAATTTTCACTTTTAAAAACTGGATAAAAAATGAAACCATAATAAAACTGGATAAAGTAAATCAAATTTATTACTGAAAAGTTTCATATCACTCTGTTCATTCACTATTCGTTCATATCACTCTATTGTGCAACAGTGCCATCAGGTAGTGGACACTATCTCTGTTGTTTTTGAGAAAAATGAATATTTCTCTGCATTATTTCTTGACATAGAAAAAGCCTTAGATAGTCTCTGGCACAAGGGTCTATTATGGAAACTAAAACTGCATTTATCTTCTACTTATTTTCTAATTATTCAATCCTTCTTTCTTGACTGGTTTTTCTGTATTTCCATAGATTCTTCTGATTCCTCCTTCTTCCCTCAACACATTGGCTTGCCAGAAGGTAGCGTCTTAAGCCCAATCCTCTATTCTCTAAACACCTCTGATATAATTGAGTACCCTAGCACCACCATTTATTGCTTCACAGACAACACTAAAATTCTTTGTTACAACAAAAATCCTACTATTGCATCAATTTCCCATCAAAACCACCTCTATGATCTTGAAAAGTAGTTCAAAAATGGAAAATCAAAATATATAGCAGCTAATCCACCCACATTAATTTCTCTTTGGGAAGCCTCATTCCCATTCATAACTATTAACAATAACACAGTGCCTTCAAAGAACTATGTACAGTACCTCGGACTCTACTTACAATTAGACAAAAGACTTACTTGGTAGATATATACGTAATTAAGAAGAAAAGAACTGACTAGACGATATAACCAGCTACAGACGATATAACATCTTCTGGGCTACAGATCATCACTTAAATTACGAAACAACCATCTATAACAATATATCGAGACTGATTTGGACATAAGGAACAGAACTTTGGGGTTCTGCAAAATTAACTCACATAAACAAAATACAAACAACACAATCACAAATTCTATGAAAAATTGTTAATGCACCTTGGTATATTTCCAATAACACTTTACCTAATGAATTAAATACCCCACACTGTACAATCCTACCTCAACAACAAATACACTACATTTCATTCTTTAAATCAAAATTACTTCAATCCTCTATTTTTTTCTAATTTCTGCTCTGTTACCTGATTGATGTAGATTAAAAATAAAATGGCCAAGAGACCTACTCCTTCAACAATAACAATATTAAAGCAAATCAAACATCGTTGCAGCAAATAATCTAAAAATCAAATTTGCCAGTTGCGCTACCACGCAGGTGCAAATTGCATACAATATTCAAATAAATTACTGAAAAACATTTAAAGAAAAAATAATAATACTAAAACATTCATAGTATAGCTTCTCTTAAAGTAAAGATTACATTATTAGCTTCGTGAGGCTGGTCAGTTTAGAACAAGACAATGTCCTTTCATTTAGAGGCTATGCAATTATTTTTGGTTATGTTGTGTGTCTGTAGATTGATTTGTTACTTTTTTTTTTCTTTTGCAGAAAACAATTGCAAAACATACTTACTTTGATAATGAAAATGAAAGCAATAAGTGTTGCAAAATTTTCTTCAGTAAATCTTGTAATATAGCAGACAAGTGCACTGGCATCTATGGCCACAAGGATAAATAGGATAATAGCAATCCAAATGCCTATCCATAATCGGAAACTCATATAATCCCAGCCTCTTTCTCTGAAAAAAAAAAAAAATTAAAATTAGCATAATATCATTTTATACTTATTTGCGCCGTTTATAGTATTTTATTGTAGCGATATATTTTTAGTAAATAATAATAATTTGATAAATAAAAATATTATAATTAGAAATATTAAAAGTTCTAAAATAGTGAAAGCTATTTGAAACATCTTGATATATTCTGGAATTGTTACCAGTTTCTGACCAATAAAATTTGAGGAAATGTTCTGGTCTAGCTCACAAGGTTCTGCAGGCTATTTTATTTCTATGAAATCTATGGTAAGGATTATACTTAAAAATAATAATTCAAATTGTAAATCAATAATGTCAAAAATTAATAAATTGTTAAATTGAGTATTCGTAGTTACTAATTATTAATGATTGAAAGAATAATATGATTTAAGAGTATATAATAAGAGTGGCATCTTAAACTATCCATGATTCAGTGTGTTTATGCTGAGATATGATTAGTTCTTTTTCTTATTTTTATTTAACAGTATATGTTTCTGAGAACTGTTTACTTTGTGATCTGATACTGGTTAAAAATGAATAACTGCAACTTTTAGTTACTTTTTAAAAAGTAATATTTTCTTTTTAATAGTAATTATTTATTCAATTTGATCAGATATATAGTCATATATAGTTTTTTTAGTCATATATAGAGTAAAACTATATTAGAAGTAAAACATGATAAAAAAAATAAAATAAAAATGATACCAGATGTGTAAATATGGAAATATATATATATATATATATATATATATATATATATTTTAAAGCAAATACACATCCTACAGGTCTATTCCAACAAGCAGTCTTGAACTGCTTATTGGAACAGAACCCACATAAAATGCTCAAAGATATTTAATTCTAAATATTGTCCATCACTAGTAATACTTTTTCCCATCACTCTGGTAACGCTGGATAACAATGAAAATGTTTCGGGCTCTAAAATAGTCAATTCATATGTATTTCCAACTGCTGAATTAAAAAATCACCATCAAAATGACAGATAAGCTCTTGCTTTGGAAATAAAGTGACATATAATTTTTTTAGAGTTGACATTTTCAATTTGGGGGTAGTTTGTACACCTGTCAAATAACAAAACACAAATGTTCTTCAGCTGTTTTTAAGTCATAAACATAGATACTGTAGCTGTGAATGTGTTTCATATAGTTTCTGCTGTAATTAATTCAGAATTTCTGATTTGAGATTGCTTTTTTAGTGTAAAATACGTAAAAATGCCATGAAAATGTGTAAATATGGTGAATAAGTTTTGTTATACTTGTGGTGAAATAACATTTTTCTCACAGAAACGCAATCTGACACCTCTTGTAATGACTGCCTATCAGCATTATTTCGGTATGAAAGTAGGGGACTGGGATAAGTCTTGGGCTCCACATATATGTTCAAGAATGGAGGTGAGGAACTGATTAAAAGATTCCAGAATCTAGTCTTGACCATTTGGGAGGAAGAGGTTTTGCCGGAAGATTGGAAAAAGTCGGTTATATGTCCTATCTTCAAAAAAGGTGACAAATTCCAATGTAAAGATTACAGGAGTATCTCTCTTCTCTCTTCTGGATATAAGATTTCATCTGACATCCTGTTCTATCGTCGTCTACCCTTTGCGGAACAGAAGCTTGGTCCCTACCAATGCGGATTTAGACAAGGAAGATCTATTGACAGACCACATATTCTGCCTCAGAACAATCCTAGGGAGAGGAAGCGAAATATCAGATTAAAACCCACCATCTTTTTTACTTCCATTAACTGGGAAGAACTGTACAAGGCACTTAAAGAGTTCAATATCCCAGATAAGGTCGAGGTCAGGAAATGAATATTGATGGCTAACAAGAGTTACTTAGCCATTCGCAAGGAATTCACCTCTCGCCTGATATTCCAGCAGAACAAGCTCCATCTCTACAAAACACTTATCCGTCCAGTCCTGCTGTATGCATCAGAACTGCTTCCAATGACAACTAAAAGGATTGAGTGAGATCTCCTAATCTTTGATAGAAAAATTCTTCAAAGAATATTTGGAGGAATACAGATCGATGGAAATTGAAGAAGGCAGACAAGCGCCGAAATTTACTTGATTTTAATGATAAAGATGTCGTTCCTAGGATGAAGCTTGGAAGACTGAGATGGGCTGGATAATATAGAGAGTATCTGTAACTTTAACCCTTTTAACTTACAAAGATTTTTAATAATACATTATATTTTAAACTATTTGAAGGTGACTTTACATAATAGACATGGTGAACAATACATTTATATATTTCTCTTTGTGGTTAGTTATATCTTGGCCCATTATACAAGGCTGTCCTTACTCCTCTTTTACTCTTCTTTATCTTGGGCTTGCTAGAGATAACTAACTTAAATTGTTGTCACTCCACTTTGTAGTGAATGCAAAGGATATTTACATCAAAACAATAATTGAACAGACGAATAATTGTTGAAATTAATGAAAAATTGGTTAATTTAATTATTGCTAAACCTGCTACAAAACATAAATCATCTTCATGTTAAAATTCGTTAATAGTTTTTGCAGTTGGCAATTACAAACAATAAAGTGTCCTTTTTTATATGGACATAGACAATATTTTTTTGTTGCACTTTTTCTTCTTCTATTTCTCTAATTAATTTTACCATTCTCCTCATTTTCACTTGGAGATATTTCTGTGATGACCAATATTTTGTTGTTTCAATAGCATCTTTAACAACATTCAAATGCAATTCGAAAAACATCGTAAAGTTAGGATTTAATATTATTTAAGCATACTAACAAAACTCTCTAGGCACCTAAATATTTTAAACTATTTTTATATTGGTCTGATAGAAAATTTGAAATCGCCATAGCACAATATGCTCAATTTTGTAAAAAACTGTGTAAATCTGTTCAGTAGTTTTTGGAGTAAGTGTTTACAAACAAAAAATGGGCTGTTCTTAAAATAGTATTAATTATTTAATAGTATGGTTTTATGATTTGATTATGATTAAATAAAATTTTAAGATTAAAGAAATAAAAAAAATAAATTCTTACTGGCAAAATTCATAGACTATTGTTTCGAAAACAAGCACTGGTCCAGTTGATCCAAGAATTGTTAATGGTTGTCCTGAGAATAGGCCATAACCAACACCACAAACAAAACCTGATACCAATGATTCCATTGCAGCCATATTTTTTCCTGTAACAGATACATTGTTTAAAAAACATAAAAAAAGAAATAAATCATGCATTACTGTTATGCTCTGAAGTATACATATAAAATACTGCTCAAAAATATGAATACTAATAGTGAAGCATGATTCATTGAGGTGGACAAAACAGGTGATGTTTTCCCAACAGAAGAGTGAGCCAAGAAGACTCCATGTTTTTAGAACTATTCTCTTAATTAACAGAAATGGTATTAAAGGAATTGAGATGGAAACATTTTGGAATAAATATTAATGGAAAATATTCATCTAAAATTTTCAGGAGATAACCCTTTAAAAAAAAAGATAAGAGATGGAATGTGTTTAGAAAGTAGTATGTATCTAAGCCAACTCATTTCATTCAAAGACAAAAATATAACTATATAATATATAAATAAACACAAAGAAGTTGAAAACATCTTTTTAAAGTAAATTTTCAAATGGAATAGAAAAAATATGTTTTTAACAGTAAAATGTTCTTTGTGATTTACTGAGGTAATCAGACTATTAAGATTAGAATATGAAATATGTTAATGCCTTTGTGCTGTACTCTGAAATCCATGGATGAAATAGCAATGTAGAACCTTTTTGATTAGACTGTTTATGTTTTGTAATGATCACGAGATGAACCTATTTTAGTGCTGAGTAAATAACTCTTAATACAAAGTGTTTCTCCTCATTCAAACCTTTTGTTTAGTAGGTTATGAGTCCAGACTGTAATGATCCACGAGTGCTGAAAAAGTATTCTGTGATATGAAACAAATAATCATGTCAATGTTACAGGTGTGAGGAGAACCAGAAAGCATGGCCGCTTCAAATGGGCAGTTATCACTCTCTATCCTACAGGATAACCAGAATTTCAGCAACTGGAAATTCTGACTTAAGCTAATTTTGAAAGAGAAGCAATCAATTAAAACAACTGAAGAAAATTCAGAAGTCCCTACTGATGAACAAAGGAAAAAGGAATTTCTATAAAAAGAGGTAAAAGCTAAGTCATTGATAGTGCAGTGTCTCTCGGATAAATATCTCAACCTAGTATAGAATTCAGTTCATGCTAAAGACATGATAAGAGCTTTAGATGGTTTATTTGAGGGAAAAAGCATATTCAGTAAACTTTATTTAAAGAAAAGACTTCTGTCCCTAAAATATAACCCTAATGAAAAACTAGAAGATCATTTTGTGAAGTTCGACGGAGTAATTAGGGAATTAGAAAATGACGGATCAAAATTAGATGACAGGGACAAAATTTTCTATTACTTTTGACAATAGGAGGTCATTTTAGTGCAGTGATTACAGCAATGGAGATGATGAAACAGGATCTAAAAATGGAATTTGTAAAGTGCCGCTTATTGGAAGAGGAGCTCAAAAACGAAAACAAATGTGAAACCCCTTCAACAAAAAGCAATATTTCTTTCCAAATTACATGTCACAGCTGAGGAAAAGTGGGTCATGAAATTACCAAATGTTGGTACACCAACAGGAACATACCTTTCAAAGGAAAGAAAAAGGACTACACTTCAAATTCCGATCGGAGAACAAGGAAACAAGACAAAAATGTCCACCAAAGGGCAAATCAAACAGGTACATATCTAGAGGTATCATTAACAGCTATGAGCTGTGAAATAGAAAATAAAAACAACACCTTTATAATAGATTCAGGTGCAACTAATCATCTTGTTGAAAATCGTAAAAGACATATGACAGATATTAAAAATTTATAGTGTGTTTAAAAACAGCAAATGGAGGGGAAATTAAGGCAAACCAAAAAGGATAATTTTTTGGAGAATATTGCAACTTAAAAGTAAAAATAAAAGCCCTAATACTCTCAGGACTAAAGAATAACTTAATACAGTTAGTAAACCCATAGAAAAAGACCTAAAAGGGACATTTGAAAAGCAATGCAAACAATAGTACTACCATGAACTGTGAAAAGAGAAAGTTTAATCTATTTTTGCTGAGACTTAAACCAGTTAAGAGTGAGTTCAGTGGTGTAACTGAATGTAATTCTAGTACTCTGTGGCACAAATGACTTGGACATTTAAACCAACATGGCTTACAGATTCTAAATTTATCATACAATGATGAAAATGTCCCTGGTGTCAAGAAGGATACAAAAGAAAACTAGCTTTTAAAAACTGTGAATCGAAAACAAGTAAAACAGGTGATTTAATTCATACAGATGTCTGTGGAAGTATTAAAACTCCAACGAATGAAGGAGAGAAATACTTCCAAGTTATCACAGGCGATTATTCCCATTTTACCTTTGTGTACCTTCTGAAAAAAAAAAGTGAGGCACAACAGAATCTTATAGACTTTATTAAATTAGTCAAAACTCAACATGGAAATAAAATTAAACGAATTAGGGTTGAAAATGGTTGAGAATTTTCCTCAAACTATTTTAAAAATTTCTGTCATAATAAGGGAATCATTACTGAGTATGCTATGACATATACACCACAGAAAATTTTAAATTGGAAAGAATGAATTTAACATTGCTAAACGAAGTCAGAACTAAATTTCCAGACACAGACTTGCCGAGACATCTGTGGAAGAAGCGATTAGAGAAACTCCTGCATTCAGATGGTATGGAAAGAATGATCTGTCAAAATTGAGAGTGTTCGGATCAAACACATGGGTTCTTAAACTTCTCCAGGAAAGCAAATTTAAACCAAGAGCAAAATCTATGATAATGGTGGGTTCCGTTGGAGGAAGATACCAACTTTAGGACCCTACAAACAATAAAATTGTGTGTTCGACGAAAATAGATTGGGAATTCAGAAAAACACTGATTCTCCAATCAAAATGAAAGATGAGAAGGAGTTGGTCGGGGTGGTTAATACTATAATACTGGGATAAAAATACTATTTTAAAAATTTAGTATTTATTTTACCACACCTCTCCCCTCCCCTACTCCCTCTCCCAACCAACTCCTCATATTATATCATGGTCAACCATCTCTACACCAAAATGATAGATGTTGAAGAAACCCAAGACAACCAAGAGAAAGAAGCACATAGAGAAAAAATCATAAAGAAGTGTCACAAGAAGACAACACAGTAGAAGACTTCAAATAGGACTTTATTGGATTTTACTCTGAACAAGAAGAAGATAATACAGGAAACACTATATTGTCATATTGGCATTGGGCGGTGGGATAAATAAATAAGGAATAAATGTGAAATGTTTATAATTTTTTAAATATAAAAAAAAATTAATGGTCTAATTACCTTAATGGGCACAAATAAAAGACTATTATTACATAAGCGCTTTTTAAACAATGGCATTAATACCTTCGTCTCACTCCCTAATGAAAACCCCATATAACCTAAAAGGAGAGGAAGGGGAGAACGAAAAAAAGGCACTATTAGGGAGAGGATCGCATTGCGACCAACCACATGATAAACCAAAGTTTACAAGATCTAAAATAATTACGAGTTCGCGGCCCGGTGCCACTGGGGCTTATAACTCTAGAATTAATCTCCTGCTCTTGCCCCTGGTCTAGGAAATGTGAGGAAGGGATGGACAAAAAACTGTTACTTATTTACTAATTATTTAAAACAAATGATATATAAATATTTTTTTGATGGCACAAATGTAATCAAACTAAAAAAAAAACAAAACATATCTAGTACCTGTTGCTTCAGATAAGAGTCCTCCAAAAGTAATAATGGGCGAAAGACAGGCAAAATATAAAAAAATCCATGAAGCAACACATTGAACAGCGATTGCATCCTTGAAGTCAGACAAGTACCTAAGCCATAAATAAAATTATATACAAAGTTAATCATGAAAAATATATAATTACATGAATATCGTCAAATGAACATACTTATTTTAAGCTAATTTATTTAGATAATACTCTTGATAAGTTGAGACTTTTAATTTCTAATATTCTGAACATACAAAAAAAAAGGAAAAAAAAAAAGAAATTGAAATATCTTCCTAATATGAAAAATATGATTGTTAATCTATCCAGGAACCTCGGAAAATGTGAAAACAACCTGATTCATCCTTGAAGCATTAAGGATCAAGATTATAAGACTTGCAGGAATCACTGTGGAGAAGTTTTCTCAAAAACCAGTCTACTACACCCAAAAACCAACTATAGCACTACAGTCTATAGAATAACATGTTTTTCAACTATTGTGCACAGGATGCCCCATTTACTACTCAGTGTAGAAGGCCATCATAACCTAACAAAAAAAAAAGTCAGTTCATTCAAGAAATAATCATGGCAAACACAGATATAAGGAACTATGACTGCAAAGTAGCCCTGTTTTTGACTGAACATGGGGGATCTACACTGGGAGGGCGATAAATATTCATGGTGGCAAGCAGCAGTGCTACTTGTACTGGCATGGAACCGAAGACAGTAGGGATCGGATGGGTTCTGGTCAGATAATCAATTGGGAGGGAACAAACCCTACAAATGGTGCAGCAGTCGAAGATGTTGGTTGAAAGGTGCATATAGTCCTCTGATATCTTTTGTGATGGTCAAGGAAAACTGGACATCAGGCATTACTTCCCAAACCGAAAGAACACAGAAGGAACAATGACTGAAAATTCATATTTTGGTTTAATGAGAACATTAGACAAAACATTACATTCATTGGAAAAAAGGAAACATAAAAAAAGTAAACAAGTCATATCACTAATAAGAACTCAATATTACATTTAAAATAGTATGTTTTGGGCATTTCCTTTAATGCTTTATTAAGATCTAATATATGGTATTACATTTTGTATCTGCCACGATATTTTATGTATAATATTACAGATGTAGTGAGAGAAATTAATAACTAATAACTACAAACTAACGTGCTGGTAGATTGTACTTGGCCATCTGCTAGACAGTGCAGTATGTTTAATGTTCTGGAATGTACTAGCATATTATAAGATATTTTTCATGAATTTTACAACCGATCAATCACAGAACAATATTTTTGTTTTTTAGTTATACTTATTTTTTTTTCCTTTTACCTCTTATCATTTCTGATATATGAGAGAGGGGCTAATTACATTAATATTATAAACTATCAATTTTTACCAAGGTGCTTTTCTCTTAATATCATTAATAAGACCACCAAACAGCCTTCCACTACGAGTCAGTCCTGATTCCTCTCTCCTTTTTTGTTCTTCTTTTTCAATATCAATTTCTTCCTTGCCTTTTTCAGGAGGTCTTCTTCGCATTTCCTTGACAAAAATTATTCTAGGTTTTTAATATGAAAAATTTTGAACTGGTAATTATACATATCTCTTATACAAATATCAAGAAAAACTATTGACTAATGACAGATAATTACACGAGAGATATTGACAAATACCTGAGACGGAATGGCAGCAGGTGGCTCTATCCTAATAGCTGGATCCCATTCTCCGGGTGGAAGCACAGTTACTGCATCAAGGAACTCGTCCAATGCTGCTAGGAGGTGATTACGAGATCTAGCTCTATATGCTACTTCATGGAAAACTTCATCAGACATAAGTGTTGCCATTGCACGACCGATTTCATGAAAACTTGATATTCCGCCCTAAATAAAACAAAAATTCTATGCAATAGAAACACATACTAGACTGCAGAATAATAATCAATAAATTAAAAATATTGGATATTACTAATACAATACTTTTATAAATAAATACAAATTATCAATACATAAAAGCTTTCAAGTTACAATCAAAGAAATACTCTGAACTAATTACAAACTATTCTAGATTTTTTATTTATTTATTAGCTATATGATTGTGGCAGCTAGACCATCATATTATTTATTTATCAATTACAAATCATATCAGATTTCACGTGGTTCTGGGTCATCGATTGTGGCTTATATAAAAATCTATTCATATACTTACCCATAAAAATATCATCTAATCTATAGTACATACATTTTGTGTTAACTAAAAATACTTATTAGTAAAATTAATATTATTTCTACAATTTGGAAAACTTGAAATGAATTGCAGACAAATAATATATGGAGATATAACACAGAATAATTGAACTAAAAATACTTACAGTTGGACCTAAAAGGAAGAAAAGAAATCTAGTAGGAACAGGAACTTCTGTTAGATCAGCAAAGAAAACGGCTTTTCTAAGACGCACAAATGCTGATAAAGGACGATCTAAAAAGTCAACTTCTCCAACTAGAATATTAGAAGCTTCGGCGCCAGGAGGTACTTTTCTCATGAAATGCAAATTACCCTGAAAAATAAATTTTAAAAAACATCTAATTGAAATTAAACTGTTATAACAGAATTATGTTTAATGCAACTTAAAAAATACCATCATAAACAAAAGAAGAGGGTGTTCTAAACTATGATGAAGGATTGGTTCAAAATGAGAACAACTCATTGAATTATAAAATGGTAACTTGAGATTCACAGAACTTATGGTTAACATAGTAAGTAATCACTACCTAAAAAACATAATGTTTGAAGGATCTTGGGTACGATTTCTGATACGGAAGTATTATTCCTTCATGATTCAATAATTTAATAAGGAGTTAATGTAACCAGCATTTATCTTCAATTGCCAGGTTTCCCATCTCTTTAAATGAAGAGTTTAGCACATCCACCTAATTTTCAGAGGCTAGATTTCTTGAATGTGTTCCAGACTCCAGTCTTAATCTGGAGTTGGGATTTACTAGTCCGGTTTCTTACCATTGATCTATTCTACTCATTGATATAGCTTAAGATGTAGCATAGTAAAAGAAGCAGAAAGGTATGCCAAGGGAATGGGATGGCCAAGTGGGGTAAAGTGTCAGTAGTACATGCAACTTGATAACATGAGATTATAAGTTCGAGTCCTGGAGCCGGGGACATTTAACTCTGGTATTAATCCCCTATCCTCTCCCTTGATCTGGGATAAATCTTGCATAACCAAACAGGGGAGATAAGAAAAAATAAAAGACTTATACCAATCTTGTAAGTGAATGATATGGGAGGAAATGGAAGAAAATGTCAGGTACCAAAATGCATGGCAGATCCTAGCAGAGGTGGTCTCGACTTCCTCCTGTGAGAAGAAGTGACCAGGCTTACAAGAGGGAGGGCTCAATAGGTCTTTTGGAGAACCTACGGATGAAGATCATTGAAAACTTTAATAAGTGGAAACAGATAATCTGGGAGGATTATGGAAGAGTGGAGCAGATGGTGGGTGATAACTCAGAAATGGAGTACCTTAAGAAAATACTTTCCCACAGTTCAATCCAGGCTACTAATGAATCCCGGAATATTGGGCTTCACAATTTCACATGGGACAAAGGGATTTCAGAGCTAAACTACATGGTCTCGGATAGGATATAGATCTCCAATGCCTCATTTGTAATGTTCTGGAGACTGTCGAGCATGTGGTCCAGGTCTGCACTGCTTTCGATGGATTAAGAGCCGCGTTGATGAGAACCATGAAAATTTATGTGAGGATTTTCTTCGGCTGGTGAGTGAGGATAACTTCATGTGGTTCAAAGACTTCATGAATGGTTGGAAGATGGCGGTGGGTCCAGTTCAGTTTTGCCTGGGGGCCTGCCGAAGGAGAACAATACCAGTGCTGGGAAGACCTCTAGATTCTGTAAGCCAGGCCTAATTAATTGAAGAATGAAAAATTAAAAAGAACAAGCTGTGTGCACAGCTTTGAATATTGTATGCTGTTATAATTGCAGCAGTGTGTTGTTGTGAATTAATGCTTAATATGGCCTGTATTGCCATAGTGGCATGGGAGAATGAAAATACATAAAAAGGTACCAAAATGCAAGCCTTTTCTTTTTTTTTTAATCCTCCTACCTGGTCATTTCTGGTAGACAGGATTCTCAGCAGCAGTGGACTAGTGCACATACCACTGCCACCGATCATACTCTTTTTATTTGTTATTGTTCTTTATTTTATACATGGCTTAGGTTATATATTTATTTCTATGAACAATAAAAATAGGGTTTTTCTGGGTGACAGTCCAGTGCACAGCTGTGCACCTTCCATGGTGGGACTGTTCCTTAATATTCTCTTTTCAGTCCAGCGGCTCTCAGAAACCACCGGGACCTTCCTTTAGCAGGAGTATAGAGCCAGAACCGCCACTAAGTGTAGCAGGTCTTCTCTACTATTTTAAACATCTTTGACAAGTGCACGGGCACTCTCTGCTCCCAGCATGATGCCATATTTCATCTAGTGCCTGACCTGACATCATACAATTCTTGCACTTTGCTGGGGAGCCACTTTTCCTAGCCTGACACTCGTTTATCTTATGCCCGTAACTGCCACACCATCTATATGTAAGGTCTTTCTTACATATAGCATTGGTATGACCATATTCCTAACATTTCAGACACAGGAGAGCACCCAAGTAGTCCCTAATACCAAATGTTCAGAAGCTGCAGGAGAACTTTTTCATTTGCAAGATTGCTGTTCTCACAGATGAATGAACCTCTGCTTCCCAGGTTTGTTTATATTACAGGTTCCCTCTCTCAATATAAGAAAAACATGGTCTGATCCACTCCTTCCTACTTATTCCGCTGCTTCCAAGTTTTCCCCATATAAAATCCTCCAAGTCCTCCAGTCCTCGGGTACTCCACTGATTTCTAGCTTCGGCTCTCTTTATTCTTAACAGATTAACTTTTAGTCCTTTGTTCTTTAGAGATTGCATCTCCATCAGCATCTTAGCTTGCTGTATTACTTGAAGTCTCCTTATATATTCTAAACATTATTTGAAAAGATAAAATTCTAGTTTTGAAAGAAAATAGATAATCTTTAGATGTACAATCTGTCAAGAAATACAGTTTTAAATGTCGGCAATTTATCAGCCAGAATATTTCGGGTATTTAGTTTCAGTTTGCACTTATACAATTGATTGATTTACTTTTAAATTATAATTAGGTTTACATATGTACCTTATGATCTTGGGTAAGGTCTCCTGTACTATGGTTTCTTGACATTGAGGCAGTACTTGGACTGTTTGTCATGTGACCTGCTTCTATTGAACTTCCTATTAAACAAACAAACAAAAACAAGTATGTTTCATGAAACAATTAAAACACATTTTAATTAGAATAAAAAATTAAAAATAAGTTGACAATTTTTTAAAGCTTAAAATTTGTTAGTTATCTATAACATATTGGATAATACACAAATTAATAACAACGTAATTAAAAAATTGATAGTGCTAATATTTTCACACATATCAAATATATAAAATATTTATATAGTTACATTTATTATTAAATTTCATGTTCTCATGCATACCCTATATCATTATCAGAATGGAATACAATATGAACAATATATTTGATTAAAGATTATATTTATAAGCTTATTGATTGTATAAATCTGATAAATGATTGTATTCATGTTCATTTAATACGGTGAAAGCCCAGATAGTTTTAAAAATTGAAGTAACAACAAATTTCTTTTCTAAAAACTCTGTGATGCCTCTGTATAAAACAAAAGTGCTGAAACTGATCCATCATAGAAATGAAAACATTTCATTTTTAGTTCAGTCCTGTTTAATGGAACCCATCTTTCAACTTTATAGGGGATTGTATAATCCAATATAAGTTAAATCCCACAAACGTATGAGAATAAGCAAGAGCTGAATAATGATTTTAAAATAAAAGAAGAAAAGTTAGAAAATTGATGTTATTGATAATTCAAATATAATTAAATTTATGTTTATAATTATTTAATATTTCTTTCAATTACCAATGACTTGTTTAGTTCAGTATTTTTATAAAGAATGTTAATTTTAAAAGTAAAATAATTTGTGTATTTGTTCAGGCATATTTTTTAATACAACTGAAATTGTAAAATAGTAATGATGAAGAAACAGTCACTAATAAGACATCATGAATCATGAAGAATATGAGGTCTAAATGTTAGCTCACAACAAATCTTACTGTATCCCATTCTCTCTTTTTTAAAAACAATTGGAACATCTTTTTATATGAAAAAAAGGTTAAACAATTTACTAATAATTACAACCACATCATTAAATATTTTCATCATAATTAAAATTGAATAAAGCTTAATATTATTTTGGAAACAATAGTTACACATATAATGTTGATGACTTGCAAACTTAGGAAAGCGTGCAATACTTATTGCAATTTTACATTTAACTTTTCAAAAACATAAATGACATTATATAAATATTCACGGAAGCTAAGCCATGCATCTATCTACAATTAAAAATTAGTGTACAAACAAGATTGCTTATGTGGCTGGGTACATCTGGAATGCCATCGGGATCAACTCCAAAATGTAAGCTGGAAACATGACAGTCAGAGTGAACAAAATGACAGCAAGCCTAAAACTTCAACTAATCTAAAATCTTTTCAGCATTTCCTGAGGATTAAATTTTCCAACACATGTATAATAATATACAGATATCGATTTATAACAATACATTTAAAATGAAAAATTAGACATTATATAATCATCAATCAACCTCAAAAATCAGATTCATTTTGTTATAATGAGCATAAAAAAAAGATCCAGTTTGGAAGAATTAAAAACACTTATCAATAATTAAATTATACAGTTTGTCATTTTGAAGAACAAACTATATTTTTTTAAAAATAATTCCAATTCAAATGTGAGTGTAGTATTTTACTAAATTACTGAATATCTAAACATATTTTATGTGCAGGATAGCATGCTTTAATCTAACAACAAAAGCATTAAAAGCAACAACAACAAAAAAAATATTGATGTCTTTTATTATACGAAAAGGCAGCAAGCATGAGTTCAACCAAGGCAAGAGTTTTAACTCCATTTTAAGAGAGTCCTGATTGCCTGAAATTTCTACTCAATTCTTGTTGACTTGGGCATCATGGCCTCACACAGAGGTGGAACAATATCTTTAGTAAAAAGTTAATCAATTATTTAAATAAATTTACTATCAGATTGTATACAACTAGATCCTTTTAATAAATTATAATTAGATCAGTCTTTCTAAATACTTTATTTACAAATCTTCCATTTTGACAAAAATGGCAAAACTAACTGGTTTTAATTAATCAGATATGGAGCTTTACTATAAAATCAATGAATTGAATAATATAAAACCAACATAAAATAGATTAGTAAACAGAGTACTTAAAAATCTGTAATGTATTTAAGTAATGAAATAATACATGAGTTTTGAAAGCAAATAGTAACTTAAATGGTTACATGGAACCAAAATAAAATTTAAATATGGTCAAATCAATAGAACTCTTGCCATAGTTGTCTCTTAGGCTACATTTTCTTTTTTTTACCAGTGGTAGATGGTATGCTGAGGAACCTGCCAACTTCGTTTCTTGCACAGCTCACCTCCTCCACTGTACCCCAGTAATAATAAAAGAGATTCAAAATAAATCAGACAAAAATTAAATTCCTTTTCTTTCACATAAAATTTTCATTTTCTCATGCTACCTCCTTGTTTTATTTGTTGATAAAAAGTAAATATATAACATTATTATTCTCTTTAAATCCAATAACAACATTATAATATTACCATCAAACATAAATTATGTTTATGTTTCCTATAAATTCACAGAAAATAAACTGCAAATTGTAATACATTTTGGTAAAAGTTATATATTAAAAAAAAAATGTCATAAACAAGTGACAAAAACTTTCTATTAATTAAATACTAAATAATAATTATTTTTTCTGAAAATATCGAAAATTGACTCAAAGATATGATTTCACAAAAAATATAAGAACTAAATAGAAATCAAAATCAAAGCCCTATTATTAATACAAGATCACAAGTATTAATATTTTTATATTTGAAATGAGATATAAAAAAATTTGTTATTATTTTACAAGTAGTATTTTAACTTTGAAACATAATTGTAGACATTATCTGTATAATGCTTGTCATAAAATTTGTAACATATTAAGATATCTTTAACAATGTTATACTCCATGTTAAAAAAATCCCAAATTGCATATATCAGCAATGTTATATGCTAATGACTCGGTATTGGTTGATGCATTTGTTAAATAAAAAAACAAAAGTAGTTTCAAATAAAAATGAACTAGTTGGCCCATGTGAATAATTCGCATAGTATATTGGTCAGTACAATATACAATATAGATAAGTTAGTGTAATGTATTACGAGATAGAAAAAATAATTTTCTTTTTCTCAGTGTAATTACATTATTACATTCATGATAATATACAAAAACATGTGTACATTAATATAGGTTATATCTTTGATAAAAATTATAAAATTTTTACTTTATTAATTTTATTTTTTTTTTGGTTTTGTAGGGAATTTAGAAATCATTCAAATTATTATGGAGGCTCATTCATTGGATTTCATGAATAATTGACAAAGTTTCAGCATAGTGACAAAAAAACAAGTTTGAGAAATAATATATAAATATAGTAGTACTTTGTTGAGCTTTATTACTATAGCAACCATTTTACCCTCCATTAGAAATATTTTCCCTACCGTTCACTAAAATATCCATAACTCCTTAGGATTTTCTCCTAAATCAAGGTTACAATAACCGTTGGAAAGCAGAATTATTGCTCTTCAAAACCATATCAATAACTTTTTGATTTAATACCTACATAAGGAATAAATAAATAAAAACTCTGATACATTTTTATATTATACCTCCAGTTCTAATATATTTACTGGGGTCTAGTTTGTGTCATCTCATGTAGATAATGTGGCTCTAAATCCCTGCTAATTTTCTTGTTGATAAGTGAATGTATGTTGAAGTCATTAGGCTTTTCTTACTTAATTCTTGCCGGTGTTCCAACGTGGGATACTGCTTCAGGTCAGAGCTGAGCTCCACACATCTCAATCTTTCCAGTCTCCCTCCTGTGGATCTCGGCCGGCTATCTCTCTCTTCTTGGACTCCTTCCATCCATATGGTTCGACCCACTCCTCGCATACGGCTTCCGGATGGTTGCCAGTCCAGGACTCTGTTTGGCCTATGCTCCTCCAGCATTCTCCTACAGTGCCATTACCACCTAAACTGCCGTTTTCTGATCCTTTCAGAGACGGTCTCTTCTACACCTATTCTTTGTCTCACCATTTCATTTCGGAATTTGCCCAGCCTTGTTAAGTGAAGACTCAGACTCCAATACTCCATTTCTACAGTCCAACCTTTGGCATATAAGCTAGCATTCATTGACTATGCCTCACATCCATAGGTTAACATGGACTCGACCATAGCTGTGAAGATACACTGTTTGTTCACATTTGAAATGGTGTTGTTCAAGAGAACAGAGTACAGCATTCTAGTTCCTTTTCTTGCCTGCTCTACCTTGTTTCGGACATACACTCCGGATACCCCCACATTGTCCAGTAGAACCTGAAGTATTTAAAAGTCTACTCTTCTGCACACCTGACCTATGCTTGGATAGTCTTTCTCATTTCCTAGTCTTCCTCATATACTCAGTATTTTGGAAGTTGATCCTGAGACCTACCTCTTCATAAGCTTTCTTTCACTGAACAACCACCATCTCTAGGAAAACTTTTTTTCAGGGTATTATTACCTGATCATCTGTGAAGAACAGAGTAAGGAGTTTGTCGTCATCAAAGTAAACACGTAAGTCCCAACTTCTTCTCATCCATTGCTTCTCTACCTCAGCCAAGTATATCTTAAAATGTTTGGAGACAGACAACCCCCTTGCTCCAGCACTTTTGTTCCAGAAAATCGTTCAGAGAGGTAGTTCCCAATCTTCATTCTGTACAGATCACTTCCATACAAGTGTTGGATTGTTTGAACAACGGATTGAATAATACCTGCTCTTCTCAGCGCTGGTCATCTTGTTTTCCTAGGAACACTATCATATGCCTGCTCCAGATAAATGAAGACTAAAAATAAAGATCCCTATTTTTCACAATTTTTTTGATTTTCCAAAAAAAAAATCCAACTGAGGGGAGCCTTGGCTCTGATTTAGTGCAAACAATTTTATTTTTCAATCACTATGAAAATTCGTATTTAAGGGTTTATTAAAGATTGAAATACAAATTTCAACTCTGTTTCTCTCTAAAAAAATATTTGAATCCTTTTTCAGAAGAAATTGTTTCAAATTTACAAAATTTTAATCAATATCGATATATATATTTTTTTTATTGTTTGTAGAGAATTTAGTAATCTTTCGATTAATCACGGGTAAAATCAAGAAAAAAATGTATACTTTTTGAGTTATTCCCAAATAAATTTTCTTTTCCTTCATAACTCTTTCCCTTAAATTTCAGAGGGGTGTGACTTTTTTTCCCCACTTGAAGGGAAAGAAAATCTTCAAAATGAGGGCTCAATCATTAGATTTGAAGAAGCATTGAATTGACGAAGTTATGGCATTGTGACAAAACAACATCTTTGACAAATAATATGTAAAGATAATTATAAGGGGAGGGCATGGATATTTAAATCTATTTAACTTCTCAGGATAAAAAAGGAATGAATTATAAAATTTTATAAGGTTATCACAAAAACAAAGCTCGGCAAAAAGGGAAGAAAAAAAGTATAATGCCAAATTTAGTAATGTATTAAATATATATCATTATTTTTTTTTCCATAACCCATAATTTATTTTTCTGGCAACGTTAAGGTCTTGGAATGCTCCTTTTTCTACATTTTTGAAGTTTAAGAAGGTTTATATCCCGTTATTATTTTATGGTAATATTCTTGATTTCGGTGTTATGACTAGATGATGGAGCTCACCTTTTTTTTGTATTGAACTTGTATAAGATTGGTAATTATGAGATTAATATAAATCTGGAGTACTGGTGCATCTATGGGAGGAGACTTTCGAGCCAAAACCCCCCAAAATGGAAAAATGATTATTTTTTTCAATGGTTGACATTCATTACTATGAGTGGTCTGAGCTAAATTCTTAAAACAATTACAATATGTTCTATTTTTAAATTATAATGCATATAAGGCATCTAAGTATAAACATTTATATGAAAATGTTTTTAAAATATTACCCCTATAAATATTATTGTTCGTATAATAACATTTTAAAAATGATTTTTAATTTGGTTTGAAGAACCATTTCATATAGATAGAGAGTTTCTTTCTTTTCCTTACATTAATTATCTTTATAACAATAAAATAAATCTTTTATCAATCAACACAGTTGAGCAGTTGTCCAATATTATTGTAGTACTCTCTGGCGGCTGACTTAAAGAATATTAGGTCATTACCTCAGGATCAATACAGGAAATATATTGTGAAAAATGTGGGAAAAGTTTTTGTTTTTTGAACTTGTATATAAGGGTTAAAATATGTAAAATATAAAATTTTTATCACAGGGCATCTAAGGAAAACTTTTGACATAAAAAAAAGCGAGATTTAAATTTTTTTGTTTTTGTTTTTCCATCTGTAACTCTTGAACAAAGGAAAAAATTTATTCTTTGAGAAATTCAAGAAAGTTAAAATTAGTTGAAATTTATTTTGTGGCGGATCCATAGAATGAATCTTGAACTTCTCACTCTGATTAAAATAGGTTTGATGTACCTCAAGAGCAACCTCTCTCTCCCCTCCCCATATGATAGAATTGGTGAGGAAGCAAGTAAAATAAAAAACATGTAGCTCTAGACAGAAACAATGGGAGTAAGTGGCAGCTAGCAGATAGAGATCTCATGGTGTCATAAAACCACTAACAAAGCCGTCATATGGATGGAGCGGTTACTCAGGGGTACCATGGATTGGCGACATACATTTAAGCCAGTGTTATACTTCTTTTTTAGGTCTACCATCAGAGGGATAAAGTGAAAAGTAGTCCAGGTGGTTTGGAATGGATTGTGTGCCATTAAAGAAGAAGAAGAATAAAAGGAATATTCGTGTTAAGTTTGATATTAATATTGTTATAATTTATAAATGAATATAAATTATATTTATATTTATAAATGTTCTATATAATATAAATATATATATATATATATATATATATATATATATATATATATATATATATGTATGTATATATTTATAAAAGAAGCTTATTACCCGACTTTAGCATAACCACAATGAGGGGTATGTGTTTATCTTCACCATTTCTAGGTATGCAACAATATTTTGAGCAAATGGCTTAACTGATTTCTTAAAACCATCATAAATGTTTTTAAAAGTATTTTAAGTTTTGGTCGACCACTGATCATTCATTACTTATCTAAAATTATTTAATAGAAGGAGTTGGTCGGGAGACGCGGTCAAGTAAATACTAAATTTAAAAAATTAGTATTTTTAATTATTATGCCAACATTTAGACCCACTTATCAGAGCTACAAAAGATACAAAATAAAAAAGGTACATGGTGAAAATAAAATAAATGAATTATAAGTAGATATTAAATAAGAAA